CTTCCTCATGGAGTCCACCACCATCGAGTTCGTCACCCAGAGAAACTGCAACCTGACGCAGATCGGCGGTCTCATCGACTCCAAGGCGTACGGCGTGGGAACACCTATGGGTAAACGTCTTAAAGCTCCTCCTGAAAACCATCTGAGCTGCTCTGGGCTCAGAGGAGATAGTGAGAGACAGATAAAGGTGTATAGTTTGGATGATGGATAAGCTCTGGGAATGGAGAGGTTGACCTTTATTGATGGGGTCGTGGCTATAATGGCTCCACGGTGTGAGGTGTAAAAGGTTTAGCTTAATGAAAAGCGAATGGCTGGAGGTTGAATTTATGGAGAAGGTTAAAATGTGCCTGCGGCCTCAGAAACAGGCGCCATCGGAGCCGCAGCCTCCGTCAGTCTGTGAGTTTTATTTTTTCTTATTCAGGTAACGATTTTTTTTTCTCTCAGGATTATTTACAGAGAGGAGAAGCGTACCTGGGTGAGATACTTTAATGGTGTGTTTTAACCTGCTCTGGAGTCTCTGAAGGCCGAAGATTGTGAGCGCGAAGCAATCACAGAGAGCGACCTGAAAGTCAATTCACTTCAATTCCCCGTGAGCCGCCTGACAGAGTGTGGCGAGTATCTGACCGTTAGAGTGCAGCAACAACAACAGAGCGCCGCCAAAAGAGAGACTCAAACGGGCGGGAAGAACTTCTCTGTGACGCCGAAGTTTGTTTGAGAGCAGAGGAGCTCAGAGCGCCGAAACCCGGTTAGATTTACACATAGACTGAATACACAATGGACGCCGTCTGCCTCTTCGCTGGGTGAAGTCACTCTGAGAACAGCGCCCTCTGGTGACAGGCTGCAGTATAGGTCATAAACCCCGCCTCCTTATGGAGCTGTGGACAAACTTTATAAATCGATGACACAGAATATAAATGTTTCTCTCGAAGTAGCGTAGCTCACCAGGGGGCGATATTTTTTCAGTCCCGCCTCCTTCGTCTCTGATTGGCTAGAAGTGCTGGGCTCTGATTGGTTATTCCTTATGGCTGTGAAATGTCATATTCTGTCAGGTTAGAGTTAGGAGATATATGCTGCGTTCCATTACCTTGGAAGTCAGCTGTTGGAGCTAAAAATGACGTCCCACCCGAGTTCTCAGCGTTTCAGTTACCAAGTAGGAAAAAAAAACAAAATCAAAGGCGGAAACAAGATGGCTACATCCTGCTTGCCTATTATCCGGACAAGGTAAGTGCTAAAATACTTTTCATAGATGAAGCCATCTTGTTTCTGTCTGCAATTTTGTTTTTTTCCGAACTCGGGTGTGACGCCATTTTCAGCTCGGACTTCTGACTTCCAAGGTAACTCGGATGACGTCAGAATTGCGATAATGTTCTGTAACGTTCTGTTCGTTGTTCAGAGCCGACAGCCCGTATTTGGCTGAGCGTGTGATGACATTTCACAGCAATAAGGAATAACCAATCGGAGCCCAGCTTTTCTAGCCAATCAGAGGCGAAAGAGGCAGGACCTCCCCCTACCATCATACAAAAGAAAATATTGTGGCTCGGGGGATACGATATTTGAGCCGAGCGTCATCACAGTGACTCTTGGCGACTCTCCCCGCCGAACACGAAGAACGCTACTGCGCAATGTTGGTTTCAGGAAGTGGAGAAAAAACGTGGAATTATCGAGAACTCTTCAGCTTCAAATCCGTCAGAACCAAGTTGTCCAGAGTATAAATACAGGTCATGGCTTTACCGCACAGGAGTCACATTTCTAAAGAAACAGCAGAGTCAGCAGAAAACCAGCCGCCATGATTCAGCGTCAAAAACACTTTTGGCGACAAAAGCAGAATCAGAAACCCGAAACAAGATGACTACATCTACGAAAGTTATTTTAGCGCCTGTCTTATATTTGGACAAGGCAAGCGCTAAAATAACTTTCGCAGATGACGCCATCTTGTTTCCGCCTGCGATTTTTCTTTTTTCCGACTTGGAAACTGAAACTGAAACTGAAACTGGAACTGGAACGCAGCATTAAAGCCCGAACTCCTGGACCCTTTTAGTTAAAGCGGCGTTAATGAGCGTGATTGTCACCGAGGTTAAAGCGTTTATGACAGGTCCGCTGAGAGCTCTGCTACCATCTGTAACCGCCACATCCATCATCAGCGATACGAGGGCCATCAAAATATGGAGGATTCATCCCGACCATCCACATCTGGACCGGGCCGGCGCTGATGAGTATGAGGCGGTTATAGATCTGCAGGGAGGCGGTGACTGCGGCGGCGGCTGGAACAAAGCTGAGGTGATGCAGTGAAATATAGTCCCTCTGTGGCTCTGAGAGCGCAGGAGGACGCCCACTGACGCCCTTCAGAGGGACACACACACACACACACACACACACACACACACACAGATCAGGTCTGTTTCCATCAGGCGGTTTTAGAGGTTATCAAATATACGACCATAAAATATCTCAAACCCAGATCACTTTAATTCTGCTCTGACTGACCTGAACGATTCACACCGTCCACTCCACGGTTAGGACCGCTCACTAACGCTCTGAAGGCTCTAATTTTAGTTCAATATTTCAGACCTACAGCTGATCTCAGTGTAACAGGTGACAGAGGAGCTCCTCATTCATTCATTCATTCATTCATTCATTCAGATATGTCGTCTCTAAAGAGGAGGGTGAGTTTTAAAACTGTCCTCGACTCCTTCAGAGGAGAAACAGATTCAATGACGTATTTTTGCAGCTCAGGAAGTTCAGAGTCCTGATTCGTCTGTCAGCCACAGTTTGAGCTCTAAAGCCTTTAAAGGATTAATAAGTTATTTCAAATTTCAGATTCAACTTTATTTTTATGGAACTTTTCAGATAAAACATGTATTTCAAAGTTCCTCACAGAGGCTAAAAACAACAATAAAACCCGACCCTCCCAACCACACACACACACACACACCCATGGACCCACACACACACAGAGACACACACAAAGTGAGAATTTAAGATCTATAGTTAAAGAGACATGGCCTGACACCAAGACATTATATGTGGAAAGAGCGACCTTTGGGAAACACTGGAGGTAAAAGATAAAAATGGTAAAAAGACAGTAACCTGTTGGACTAAAATAAGAAAATAATATAAAATGAACAAAAAAGTAAAAGCTCTTTACCATATAAAAGGGGTAAAAGAAGTAAAAACCTCTTAGGCGGGAGTTAAATGTAATAATAATAGTAATAAAAGAAAAATAATAGAAAACATAAGTAGCTCTGAGATATCTTCATTAATTTTTTAATTTTATGCCTCAAACAATCAGAATTTTTCTTTTAACAGACCAGGTTCAGACCAACTAAAATCTGAGAAAATCAGAATAATCAGCAGGTCAGTCTTAAAAATACAGTAAATATAAATATAAAGAATAAAAATATAAAAGTACCTCTGTAAATACCTTTGTAATAGAGATAATAGAAAATCAGGTCCAGCAGCAGTAAGATGCTGTTTTCTTACTTTATTGATTGATTGACTGAAGTTCATAGTTTTGAATTTCCTCTTTATAATAATCGTGTCTTTATTTCTCTAAACTGTCCTGACCTGAAAACCTGAAACATTAAAACTCCTCCTCTTTGTCTGGATTAAAGTTTGATTAAAGTGAAATTATAACTCTCCTCACACTGAATCATTTCTGTGTTTTTATTGGTAGATGATTATTATTAGATTTATAAAATCATACTTAAATATAACATGATCCTTTTCCTCGGATGATTCTCGGTGGTTATTTCAGGTTTTGTCGTTAAAGCTGCTTCTTCATTCACTAACTTGAGCGTTTGTCAGGGTGTGTGAGGAGTCGATGAAGACCTCACTCTTCAACGCTCTTCAGCAGCTGATTCCCAGCAGAGCTTTTAGAGCAATAAACCTGATCGAGCTGCAGAATAAGTCTGAACCTTTTAGCGCTTGTCGGTTTTCTCACATCCTCGTCCCAAAAAAACGGAAACACGTCATTTTGAACCATCGACTCAAACCGGGATCACAGTCATACTCAGGGGGGTGGAGGGTGGGGGACAGACGACAGGCTGGGAGTGATGGATGTCCTCCTCTGCTGAACATCTGTCAGGTAGTTGTGTATGCGTGGTGTGTGTCAAGCACAGCGTTTTCCCCTCGCTCTCTCTGAGGACCCATCCTATTAGCATTTATCCAAGGACTGCTTTGTTAGGCCATCATTAATCATGTGAAATATGAGGGGAGCTGGAATCAGGGGACGCGCGCACACTTCATAGATCCCTCATCCTCAAATGAAGCCAGCATATGCTCCACACGTGCACACGGCACGGGCACGTGCGCGTGCTGGAGGCGCCGCAGAGCTGCGGCTCGTGCCCGGGATAAAAGCGTGCGAGTGTTTCCTCCAAGAAAAATACTGATGAATACATTCAGAGAAGAGCAGGAGACTGTTTGTGATCAAAGAGCCGAACTCTGAAGATGGAGGCACTTTGAGTAATTTTCAGGTTTTCTATGATTGTCCCCTTTGTCAGTGTAAATACAGAGAGGCACGGAGATGAAAGGATGATGGATGGCAGCAGATAAATGATAGATGAGACGGAGAGGGAATCAAATAAAGGGGCTGACAGGAACAACTCCACCAGCCACAGACGGAGGGATCATGATACCTGGGGCCGTGTTGTGTTGGTTTCCTCTGAGCGTCACATGATCATAAAGAGGTTCTGCTGCTGGGATCAGAACAACACGCCTCATCCTGCTTCACTCTGAAAACACAGATGAGACCAAACGCCTGAAATGGAACCCAGGCTTCATCTCTCTAATCACATAAATACACTAACGAGCGTTTAAAGCCGGTTATGAATGAAACACCAACGCTCACGCCCAGGATTAATCCTCCTCGGCCTGGTTGGGACGCGGCGTCATGCTGTGCCTCGTTGTGCCGCACCAGCCGAGGATGGGAGGAGAACACGACCCCGGCCGGGAACCCTCAAACCATCAGTCCTCCTTTGATGGCGCCAGCTCCCGCTGCGCCTTAATGCCGTCTTTCTAATTCTGGCGCCGTCCCACCGTCTGGATTTGGGTCCGTTTACTCATCATGACACTGAAATGTGTAAAAACACGGCGGCTCTATCTCAGAACCGCACATATAATCCCAATTACACGTGTCATATCCTCCCCACTGAGAGCCTGTTTACTCCTTTAGATTAACAGTGAAGACACACACACACACACACACACACACACACACACACACACACACACACACACACAGATCAGCCTTTAGTCAAAGTCCTGGTTTGACTCATAGACTGTATTTACTCTGGACAACTTGGTCCCGCCTTCTGCCAGTATTCGGATTCAAAGCTGTCCGTCTTTGACCCGATTTGTACTGAGCGTGTGCGAAATGTTCGTCACTTCCTGTCTTGGCGTTTCAATGTATTTTACGGCAGTGATTCGCTACCTACCCGATCCGAACTACGCAAGTGCAAATAAAAATTTAGACTACCGATCGATTCAGAAACCAGTTGGCGATTTAACAGGCTAGCTAACAGGAGGCTCCAGAGTTTCTGCCCAGAACGGTGAGACCTTTTTGGCCACAGAGAGCGCCACCACCTGGCCAAAGTATCAAGGGGGGATTTACTTCATTTAGTTTTTAATTAAATTAATTAACAAGAAGCCGACACATTATGGACCTTAAATTAATGTTTTTATACAGCGATTTAATTTCAACACTGAAATATTCATTCCTTTTAGAACTGCGCTGCACTTTTACAGTTTCGCTGAAGTAGGAACCTTTTATCGTGAAACTGGGCGCCATTCTCTTGACTTTCCGGCGCTCTGCTTCAGTCGGGGGAAGAACTGTTCAGGAGAAAAAAAAGTGTGTGGCTGTTATAAACTGAAGCGTCCATTCTGACTGTAGTGAGCTCACTGATGTTAAAGCTGTCGCAAACTGTGAGGGGTGAAGAATTGCTGAGCTGTCACAAAGATGGCGCGTAGAGGAAGTGACAAACATTTCGTACATGTGCAGTATAAATCAGGTTTCCGGGGAGAGTTCTCGATAATTCTGCATTTTTTTCTCCACTTCTGAAAACCAACATTGCGCAGTAGCGTTGTGCGGATTCGGCGGGAGAGTCGCTGAGAGTCGCTGAGAGTCGCTGTCCCCCAGGTGGTAGGATTTTTTTTCTTAGGATGGTAGTGGAAGGTCCGCCCTCCTTTGTCTCTGATTGGCTAGAAGTTCTGGGCTCTGATTCGTTGTCCGTAATGGCTGTGAAACATCATCATCTGTTAGGAGAGTCAGGATTGCGATAATGTTCTGTAAAGTTCTGTTCGATGTTCAGAGCTGACAGCCCGCGCTCTGCTTGAACATGTGATGACTTTTCACAGCCAATCAGAGCCGAAGGAGGCGGGACCCTCCTCTACCATGACCTATACTGCAGCCTGTCACCAGAGGGCGCTGTTCTCAGAGTGGCTTCACTTGTCGAGGAGGCAGACGGCGTCCATTCTTTATACATTCTATGGTTTGCGTCCTTGTCGGCCTCCATCTTGACGGGTCTGTTCCTCTCTCTGGATCTCGGTGTCGTTGTCGGGTCGAACCATCAGAACAGATCAGAATCCAAACAGATAATCCCAAACAAACACCGTCTGTCTGAGCGTCCTGCCGCTCTCTCTGTTGATTGCGTCTGAAAGGCTGTGCAGACAGCAGCTAATTCATCAGAACCAGCAGCAGGTCCACAAAGCCCGGCTCCCCGTGTTTTAGAATTCACTCGCTGCTGCGGAGAGGAGAGGAGCGAGTATTCTGGAATCACTCGGTGAATACGGGGATTAGCAGGATTTGGAGACGGATTTAGAAAAAAACTCCCTCTAAGCAGCAACAATAACATGACAGGTTCTATGATCACATGAGAGCCCGGCCCGTCTCATATACCCACCAGAACCGGGGACATCTCCCCCTCCACAATGACTTTGCTGGTCCTGATCACACTGGTTCTGTTTGAGTCTGTTGGACCCGTTCGCTCATCCTCTCCTGCTGTGTTTGGTCTCCCTGCAGGTTCTCCGTACAGAGACAAGATCACCATCGCCATCCTGCAGCTGCAGGAGGAGGGGAAGCTGCACATGATGAAGGAGAAGTGGTGGAGAGGAAACGGCTGTCCTGAGGAGGAGAGCAAAGAGGCCAGCGCGCTGGGGGTGCAGAACATCGGCGGCATCTTCATCGTGTTGGCGGCCGGGCTGGTGCTATCCGTGTTCGTGGCTGTAGGGGAGGTGCTTTACAAGTCCAAACAGAACGCCCAGCTGGAGAAGGTACCGGACTCTTTTCTGAGACCTCATAATCTCAGCTAATCTCAGATCCTCCTACCTGCAGCTTCTCCTCTCATGTTTTTATTCTGTTCTGAAGAAACTGCAAACAGGAAATCTAATCAGACTAACCTCTGATCTCCTCCTTCATCCTGATCGTCTCCTAAAAGGTCGTATCCTCCGATCGTAGCTGATCGACGTCATTTCACCCCGATGACACCATGGATGAGGAGATGCTGATTCTAGAAGTCTAGAAGTAGATTTCCTCCTCTGGAAGGACACAATCTACTGACTATATGTCTATGTGTCTGTCTTTAGAGAGACAACTCGTTATCGTGTGGTTGAACGTGAATCTGCAGGTTCTTCTGAGTTCTCGAGATTACCGCTGTCTGTAATCCGCCGTGAAATTCACCTCACTAATGGATCCAGTAGAAATTGGCGTAAGGCAAAAAATGGCCGCTCGTCCGGATGCGGTGGAAATTCGGGCTAACCCTGATTAATGTGACCTTACATCAGTTTTCTTCCTCTCTCCTGATGTTTTCTTCATGAACCTGGTTCTTCTTTTATTCGCTGATATCTGCGTCTCTGCAGCTCAAACTTTATTTTCTGTTTCACTCAGAAAAAAAAACACTTTTAAAAACTGAGATTAGAGTTTTTCGGTTCATGGTCGTGAATATTTCTCTGAGCTGAATTGTCCTTTTGTTGTTGCCGTCCTCGTGTCTCTACAGAGATCCTTCAGGTTTTAGTTAATACCAGGATAATCAGAGCGGTTTGACGGACTCTCTGGGACCGTGGTTTCTCACTGAGCGTTTCCTTCATAATAAAATTAAAATAATTTTTCTCTTAAATGTTTCTGGTTGATCAGAAACTTCATTTATTCATGACAATGATATTTTAGAAGGAGGAGGAATGTGTTTATTTTCTTCAATCCTAAAATTAAAATTATTTCAGAACTTTTGAGGGAGAAAAAACGAGAAGAGAGAAAAACTGCAGTTCCTCAAATGACCACTAGAGACCGTCTTAGAAAGTGTGTCAGTCTTCATTAGGGCGCCCTCAGCAGGATTAATCCTGTTCACAGTCCGGTCCAAAACCTCCTCAGGTGTCTGAAGCTCATTTCTCAGTCGAGGTGAAACGATCTCAGAACTATCAGAAACATATCAGAGCTTTATTTTATAACCAGGACAATCGAGTGTTTGATCGATTAGCATGAGGAATTGATCACATTTTATCGATACTAAAGCCATTATCGATTCTGCTTATCTATTTAATTTTTTAATGATTCCTTTATTGATTTCTTTGACTACAGATTTTCATCATTAACTCAAAATTTTATTGAGTCTCTGAAAACAGAAACAGATGTACACCACCTTCAGAGAGAGTCTAAAATAATCAAACCACAAACTATCAGTTCAGCTTTTACTTCGGTCGGTGTAAAGTCAAAATAGGGTGACCATATTCTGGATCCCTAAAAGAGGACACTACTACAGGGGGCGGAGTCAGGCACAAAATTTTGAGTGTTTTTTAGGTCGAGTGTTTTTTACACGTGTCTGACTCAGTTAGTCTACACTACAAAAACTCAAAACTTTCGGACAGACCCCTGAAAAAGAGTGCATGTACAGGTGAAAGAGGACGTTGTTAAATCGGGTTTGCATTGTGCTTACATGAATATGTTATCACGGCTCCACAAACGTCACACTGTTGTCCTGTCTCTTAGTAAAATGACGCCACGCTTCAAATCGTTTCTGCCTATTTTCTGTACCGTCGGCCATGTTTTTTCCCTCTGAGTCTCTGTTCTCGTTTGCGTAGACTGGCTCTTGTGAGACCCTTTTTCAAGGCGCCTGGAAGAGAGGAATCATTAAGATAAAATGTAAACCATGTCGATGGATTGAACCATTTGAGGCGGTTGTTGACAAGATCAGGTTCTTGATTCCCATCCCTGACTGTTAGCACGCGTCTCGTCCCACTGCCGACCCCGTGTTTTTCTCCAACAGCACCTTCAAACTGTGAGGGACCTCTGACTCCAGAACATCAACACGGCTACTGAAGCCCGTAACCACAGCTGTGACGTCCATCATCACTGTGACACCGACTCTGATCAGCTTCTCTTATTCTCTACAATACTAGAACATAGACACGCCTAAACGGACCGAAAACGCCGTCCTGTGATTGTTCCATCCAAAGACTGAGACGTGTGTGTGAGGCGGCGGCGGCGGCTTCTTTTTCCCGCCTCTGGTTCTGTTTCTACGGAGGGACTGAATTTATTCCAGACTCTTCTATCTGAGCTCTATTTTAGGACTGAGTGCTCATGATTCATCACACGGGGCGGCGTGTGTGTGTGTGTGTGTGTGTGTGTGTGTGTGTGTGTGTGTGTGTGTGTGTGTGTGTGTGTGTGTGTGTGTGTGTGTGTTTTAGTGCAGTTTAACTCCTGCGATGATGTTTCCAGATAATCGTGAAGGTCCTTTTGATAGCCTCTTTTAATTATTTACATCTACAGAATTAGCTCGGCGCGGCGCGGCGCGGCGCCTCGTTACTTTATTGCAGTAGTAATTAGATTTTTGGCTGTTTTTCTTCGCCGCCTGCAGATGTTTCAGAGAACATCTCAGCCGCCATTAATCAGGAGCTGAAAGCCCGGGTCACAATATTCAGATCATTCTGTAAATGCCAGCGTCTGCAGGCTGCCAAGGTGCGAGTCATTTTCCTCTGCTGCTTTTCTTCACCAACCCTTCCTCCTCCTCCTCCTCTTCCTCCTCCTCCTCCTCCTCTTCTTCTTCATCAGCTGCTCTCTCCTTTGATTTCTCCATCACTCTCATCCATATCTCCAGATTCCCTCTCATTGTTTTCCGTCTCTCTGCCCCTTTGTCTGTAATCACTCATCTCCCCGAGCGCACAAATATCTCATTCAGACGGCAGAACAACAAATGTAAATACGTGCAAAAACAAAAACACCTGCTGCAGAAGCCACCTCCAGATCTCCATCTCCTCCACCCACACTCACACAATCAGGGAAATAATAGCTGCCTGTTTGACTGCCCACCCTCTTCCTTACATCGCCTCTCCTCCTCCCACTCCCTCTAAAAACAAGAATTACATTTTCATAATCACAAAGTCAACGTAGGAAAATTCGCCTCGCCAACACCGGCGCTCCGGCTTATTGACATTTGATAGGATTTCACAGACGGGCACAAAAGAGGCTCTTATTATAGGACTGATTATATAAGACAGTGTGAGTCTGACTGATGTTTCCAAAAGGTACCGGAGTGTTTGGACTTCATTCACCGAGGAGGAGGAGGAGGAGGAGGAAGAGGAGGAGGAGATCCCATCCTTTATTCAGTGTCTTTACATTCGCTGTTTGCACGCCAATCATTAGGAGCACTGAAAGGTTCTGTTTGATCTGAGCCGGGCGCTTTGAAACGGCGTTCAGACCTGAGTGTGACGCTAAAACGGAGAAGGAGAGAGAATCTAGGACATTCAGAACCTTAAGTGGACCCTCCAAGAACCTTCTTACGGGATCAAACCCAGAAACAGGATCATTTTTCTCACAAACGTGGAAACTTAAGAGATCTGCAGGTTCAGCTGAACGTTCAGGAACTCTCTGATGGTCTCTGTAGATGTTTGTCAGGATGTTGAGTTTTCCACGTCTGACCTGATGTTTGTCCAGACTCCATATTCCTGTGAGTTAAAGGAGGTGGAGTCAGGATCTGAGTTAGCAGCAAACACAATGTTTGCAGGACTTCTACAACGAGGATAAAGTGACATAGTCCAGGACCCGAGGGAGGACAGTTTAGCGATGGCGCTACAACACGCTACAGCAGGTCCGTTTGACAAGAAACACTTCTGTTACAGACACTTGTCTTACTTTGTTAAAGCGGTTTACCTGTCCAGCAGAAAGGTTACAGGGTCACCAAGATCCCCAAGCGTCCCCCATCGTTTATGTTGACCCGGCTTTTTAGCTCTTGTCCGGTCTACCTCCGTTTTAAGCGCCCGTTATTCCTCCAGAGTCTCCGGTATTTACTTTGTTTTCTTGCTTGTGTCGGCAGTCGTGGCCAAAGGAGGATTCGGACAATTTTCCGAACTTTCTGGTTGGTTTCTACTGTCCGATATTGTAGCACGCTAACTTTGTTTGGGCTCCTGAACGACACAAGGGAGCAGCATTTTCTTGCTGACCATTTTCCTGTTGACCGTTTTCCTGTTGACTGTTTTCTTGTTGACTGTTTTTGCTGACTGTTTTCTTGTTGACTGTTTTGGTTTTGACTGTTTTCTTGTTGACTGTTTTGGTTTTGACTGTTTTGGTTTTGACTGTTTTCTTGTTGACTGATTATAGTTGACGTTTTCTTGTTGACTGTTTTCTTGTTGACTGTTTTGGTGTTGACCGTTTTCATGTTGACCAGTTTGGTGTTGTCTGTTTTCTTGTTGACTGATTATGGTTGACTGTTTTCTTGCTTGTGTCGGCAGTCGTGGCCAAAGGAGGATTCAGACAATTTTCCGAACTTTCTGGTTGGTTTCTACTGTCCGATATTGTAGCACGCTAACTTTGTTTGGGCTCCTGAACGACACGGGGGAGCAGCGTCTGCCTCACAACCAATCAGGTTAGAGGAGGTGGAGAACGGCTTTGTTTACAGTCAGAAAGAGCGGACCGCTCAAAAATGTTCAAATGTTGACGACACAGACATAAGAGAACACAGAGATATCGATATATTACCAAATAATCAATAACTAATAACTATTGACTGATATTAGAAGATTTTTGTTTATCCACCACAAAAAAAAGATGTTTCTTTAACGTTGCCTACTGTACCTTTAAAGAGGAGACGCTCAGACTCGCTGCGGTCATGTATCATCGCTCAGATCTGCAGAGTTTGGAGTTTTGTTTCTAACAGCACGGCGCCGATATAACTCTTCCCTCCTTCCTGTTTGCTTCCACAGCGATCATTCTGCAGCGCCATGATGGACGAGCTGCGCGTCTCTCTGAAGTGCCAACGCCGCCTCAAACAGAAGCCTCAGCCGCCCGTCATCGTCAAGACGGAGGAGGTCATTAACATGCACACGTTCAACGACAGGAGACTCCCGGGAAAGGAAACCATGGCATGAACGCTGGGCGGAAACCCCCCCCTCACTTAAAACCACAGAGGGGCGACGGGGGTCCCATCACTGCTGACTGAACCGAGGTCGGCGGTCCAAACAGGACTCTGTTGAACCCACTGACTTAAACGTAGACGGATGTTTCCTGTGGAAATATAGAAACCTGAGCAGTGTGACCTCACTGTGACCTTCAGAGGAGAGGAAGGAGGAGACCAGCAGGTTTGGAGACTGAACACGAGTCCGGTCCACACAGGAAGTGGACTTCACACATAACACACACACATATATACATGTATATGCACACACACACACACTCATGTGACACACACCTGTGCAGACGGGAAAACTCTTATTGTGACGGTAACACCTGATGTAGTTTTTCTGTTGATGTCAAAGCCCTTTTGTCTTACCTCCATGTGTGTGTGACCCCATCAGCCCCTCCCCCGGCGGCGGCGGCGGCGGCTTCAGTTCCTTTGACTCGGCGGTTTCCTCTGACCTGATGTATAAAAGTGCGGTTTAGTTTGGGCTCATCTGTGTCCCGCCCTCCTCATCCTTCTGTCCCGCCTCTCTCGTGCCAAAGTTCTGCCTCTGTGAAGAACTTCGTACATGAATATTCACCCGTTCATCGACGCCTCTGTAAACTGTCCTTCTTCATGTCCACGCTCACTCTCAGTCTGCAGTTTCCTCTCTGTATCAGTTGTTGTTTAAAATGCAGGATTTCTACAGAAATGTTTGTTTTTGTACACGAACAGAAGTTTTGTAGTACTTTGTATCATGGTAGCGCCCTCCTGTGGACTAATATGTAGCAGATACCAACTCGGCCCTGGAGCTGTCACCTGTTGGCTATCGGGCTCTGCTGTGTAACCACCCTTTCTCTCATTATTCACCCACTCTGTCCGTTTCCTGTCTGTGGGTGTCGTGGGGTCAGCTGTGCGTATCCTCTGAGGACGTTAGCGGCGCTCGTCGAGGATAAAAACGGTGACTCATCCCTGAAACTGGAACAAAGCTTTCAGCTGAGTCCTTCTGACAACACGTAGCCATGATGAGTCACCGTGGGAGACGTAGTAAATCAGGATGGTGTTGCTTCTGGTGGAGGAGGGCGTAGAGGAAGTTTCAGGGAACGGCGGCGGCGGCGGCGGATTTGAGGGGAACAGAATCCTGAGATTTACAGCCTGAAACCTCTGAGTGTAGAATCACGTGGACGTCCCGCCATCATCACCGCCGAATTTAAGACGTGAAGACGTGAAAACGCTCAGAGAGCAGAGGTGTCAATCATGAAGCCACACCCCCTTTTTCAACATCAGTTAACTCCTCCAGAGACGAACATTTGGACGTGAATCAGCATGATAATGATTTATAACTTAAATAACTTTTATAACAGATTTATTTGACCAGGATCAGGGGCGGGCTTTAAGACCTATACCGCAGCCAGTCACCAGGGGGAGCCCTTAAAGGTCAGCCTGAGGACTCGACAAGTATGTCATCTTAGTTTTTAATGAGGATAAATTTCCGCTTGACCAGATTCAGGTCAGACCAATCAGCTTTCACGCAGCTCTGACCCCCAATTTCCACCTCATCCTGAACTCATTATCGCGTGATTGAAGGTGAATCCGCAGGTTCTTGTCAGTTCTCGAGATTACCGCTGTCCGTAATCCGCCATGGAATTCGCACCAAAAACAGATCTGGTAGGAATTGGCGTACGGCGAAAATCGCCGCCGTTCCTGGTGAGGTGGAAATCCCGGGTGAGGCAGTTTGACATCAGCGTTTATAAACCTGATTACAGTTTCGACCCAGACGAACATCAAGTGTTAGTAAATCCTGTCAGACCAACGTCCTTGAATTGAGTTAAACTGAAGATCACATAAATACGACGTTTCTAACTCAGCCTTACTCCGAGCGTCTCTGATTGGCTCTGATTCATCTCCACGGCGACAGAGACCACGCCTCTTTAGTTATAAATTCAGTCAGGAGAAGCTTTTGTTTGAGACCAGATGAGGTTTTCAGGATTTTACTGTGACTTTGGAGGAAACAGAAAACTTACCGCAGAGGTCGTTTTAGGTCTTCAGTCATAAATTAATGGTCAGTTTGGACTTCCTGTTGTCATGGTCATTTTTTAGAGTAAAGGTGAAATTATTAAAGTAAAATCTTCAGGTAGAGTTTGATCTAAGTGAAGGACGACTACCAAGTTTATTTTTCAGGGTTAGTTTTAGTTTTCGAGCTCACTGATGGAAGACCAGCTCATGTAGGCGCCATCATCAGAGGTCAGAGGTCTCAGACAGCAGGACGGCGCTCCTGGCCCCACGACACGTCTCTCTGCTATCTCTGTTCATACTGGGAAATGACAAGCAGACTTGGTGGACGTCTCCTTTGTCCCCACACTAACCCGATCACCATTTCACCCGTTCATCCGGAGAGTCCAGAGAAAACAAACGCTCTGACGTACGGCGGCCGGAGCTCGCGATGACATCTCCGCTGAACACAAATGGAAAGTTAATGAGTCATTCAAGACGACCACATTATGATAACTGACAGGAAGGAAGACATAAACCTGAAACCTACTGGCGGTCGACCAACGCTGCTTGTCATTTCCACGCATCTGTACGCCGTGGTGCCAGCTGATCTGATCGAATACCTGGAAACATTTCTTGGAAACGACTCCGAAGGCTTCTCTGTCCTGTGGATTCAACAAACACGAGCTCATGGAAATCGACATTGATGCAAAGTTTTACAAATAATGTCATTAAAAATGTCATAATTGTACTTCTGCTGAGTTTTATTCACTCCGTTCTTTCACGGCGGTTCGGTACCAAATGATCCGGAAACAGGAAGCGTTGATGGGAGTGATGGCGCCCTGCGTAATGATGAGCATAATGTTCAGCATTTTCCTGAAATGTCAGCCTCTAATTGATTAAACGCTCAGAGGCTTGATTTGTATGATCCAAAGAATGCATTAGGTAATTACTAAATTGTTAATCAAATCAACATTGTGAGCATGTTGAGCAGCTCCTCCTCTGACTGGCTGACTGTTCCGGACCCACCTGGCTGTGTGCCGGCCGTGTCTCCTCTGACCGCAGGTTTTCTGAACGGGTCCGCTGAGAGCCCAGAATCCAGATGACCGTAAGTATACAGACTTTAAAATGAGACCCCGAGGGCGCCGCAGACCCACTAAAAGCAGCCGTGACTGCTCCCCGCCGTCCGCCTCCATGATTTTTCATTGTTTATTGTTATTTCCCCTCAGACAGCTCGGGGCTCCTGACGAGGTTTTCAGGGAGTAATGATGAAACCTGCTCCTGCCGCCACGACACAAACGGCCACCATGTCTGCCCTCCAGATTGACAGGCAAGGTCAGAGTCTGCGTCAGTGTGTTCAGCGGGGAGCGTTTAGTCTGTCACACTTACTTCCATCATATTAAAACCTCTTCCTCCTCTTCCTAAGTGCTTATTGGAAAGGTATCCTTGGATAACATCTTGTTCATTAGGCAATTAATAGCTGAGATTGCGTTGTGGACAGAAAATGACTTTCTGAATGTGACTTTGGTTTGTGGTGCAGATATTACAGGCGAACAGCACCTGCCAAGGACGGCGGCTCTGTGCAGGAGGAGGAGGAGGAAATATATCCCTCTGCTCATTTCCCTCTGCTCTTTAATAATTCACCGTCTCCATTAAGATTTATGTCGCTCCACTTTGATTTCTTCTTTTAGACAAGTAGTCGTCCATGTTCTCCTAAAGTCATTATGTACAGTCGGGCCGGTCTACATCCTGAAACCCAGAGTCAGTCAGGGAGTAAAACAAGAACACAGCTGCAGAAATACAGAATAACTAACTTATACATTTATTCATTCATAGGTGAGCGTAAAAAGACATTCCTGCCCCGTTATTTTCTACAGGTTTCAGGATTATTCAGCAGACTCTCCAGAGGATGATCCAAAGGTCAGGTCAGACCTCGACGAGTAAAGAAACGAACTCTGGAAATTGATCAGAAACGTTCATCTATTATTTCTGTGGATGTTTAAATCACATCAGGATTAACTGAATCACTCTCGTCTTTTCTTTTCCTCTACAGCTCAGAGATAAATATTATCAAACACCTTCAGCTGAAGTAAAAACGATCTTTGAGGCCACTAAACTTCAACATCGTCACCTTTTCTTCTCTGAACCACAAAAATGAATCAGTTAGTCTTATTTTTTTAATCCCAGGCCCAGAATGAAGTTGTGAGTAAACTCTAGTGCTGCCCCCTGCTGTTAGCTGAGGCCACAGCTCCAGAAAATACTCACTAAAATATTCATATTATTATGTCCTAATAGATGTCACAGCACTGACGGGAGTCATCTTTATTAAAATATCAAATATTGATGTCCTCGAAATCAGCGAACCAAGAGTTCAGAGCGGAGGTTCTTTATGCTGCAGGTCATGAACCGGAGGAGAGAAGAAGAAGAAGAAGAAGAAGAAGGAGAAGAAGAAGAAAAGAAGAAGAAGAAGAAGAAGAAGAAGAAGAAGCAGACCGCCTGTGATCTAGCTGACAGCAGCTCTCTGATCTGGTGCTTTTAAAGCTACACTCAGTGATTTTTAAAAGTCCAAATGTGAAGTTAAAGTTTCTGTCCCTCCAGGATAATAACTTCTCAAACATTTACAGCGTGTCTGCGGGTCTTACAGAGTATTAAAAGTGGATAAATCATTTTTGGGAAAAACAAGTTTTAAAAAGTCTGAACTGTGATTTTATGAGGTTTTAAATTTTACTGGTAATTAAGCTTTGACTTCAAAAACTGCAGTGAAACTGTAGGGACGCCGGTGACTCCGCCCCGAGTCATCTAGCCTTCCTTATAGTTATCTTTGGTTACAGCCTCCGTCTCAGTAACAGTACGTGACGCTCAGACGTTAAAAGGCATTTAAAAACATTTTTAATTGAACTTTTCGTTATCGTGGTGCACAGTGAAAAAATCTGGATCATGTGACGAGCCGTAGTGGCGCCATTAGAATGAGTATTTTTACTGATACTATTGATAACTATCAATTTGTTAAAGTGCAGCACTGATACAAAAACATGACTGTATGAAATATAATGTTTGATCATACATTATTCTTATCAATTTCATTCCAAGATAAAAATAAAAACAAGAATAAAATGCAACAAAAATAATAATCTTCATTTGTATAGGTGAAAAATATATATAAGTAAATCCAAATAAATAAATAAAAGTCTACATATGAAGAATAAAGAATAACAGCAATGATAGAAATTATAAGATGTATATTTTTAATAGTTATAATATTACATTTTAAGTAATCATAATCATAATAATAATAATTATTGTTTAAACAGTTGAATGTCATCAGCCAGGGTTAAGGCTAACGTTAGTCTGTAATTTGACTAGGATAAATTTGTCCAATAATCGATCATATCAGTTGTGTTCCCGTGTCTTTACTGCTCTGAAATCAACTAAATGTTTTTAACCATCAGTATTTGATTTTAAAGTTTAAACTTTTAAACAAAAGAGAAAAATAATGATATTTTTAACCATTCTTCTTTGGATTTTATTAAATTTGAGTTTTATTTATAACTGTTATCGAGTGTCTTTTCTCAGAAATATCATTAAAATCATCGGAGCTGGTACTTTTTAAAACTTAAATGTGCAGTAGTTAATCACAAGTTTCTCAGGCAGAAAACAAGTTAAATCAAAACTGACCACCAGGGGGCGCCTTTTCTGTATTATGCCTGTTTGGCCCTGAACTCCAGATCCTGAAGTCTTCTACTCCTCATGTTTGATCCTCAGGTGTCTGCAGGAGGACTGGAGAATTATGGGACCGACAGAGGACGCCGTGGGTGAGTTGTATTGTTGGCTCAGGGTCCCCAGGGTCTTCAGGTCCTGATAGCGTTTGTTGATGTTTTTTCAGCAGCTGTAGTGTTTGTTTTTTGTGTTTTTATACTGCAGATGTATCAGGACAGAGTTTGTAGTTCCAGCTCAGATTGTAACTTCTGTTTTTGACCTCGTGGACTTTTTTAAATCCGGCTCAGGTGTGTAAAGATCGATCAGCTCTCAGTGCTGAGGGTGTGATTCAGTGTTCAGCAGGTTAGTTTGAAGCTTTAATATAAAGTTTAAAAGTTTTTACTGGGAAGTTAAAGTCTGTCAGCGCTGAGTGTTTCCTGAGATATCAGAGGAGCTTTAAGGTCCATAATCTCAGCGTTTATGTCATGTTTAATGATGGACGATATGAGCTAAAAAAATTATTATCATGATGAGATTTTCTATTCTGGTGATAACGATAGAAATCCTGATAAAAAATATCATAATTCTTGTCTGTATTTTTGACTCATTTGTCTTGAGAACATCAGTTGGAGTTTTTAAATCAGACACTGAACCACAAGTTTGAGTTTTAGGTTACGGAGGAAACTAAAGACTAAAGTCTGAAGACCCTGAAGAGCCGAGCCGACAACACAACCACCAGAGGAGGGGGGTCCTATGAGTTTATTCATAAAAAACACACAAACACACTGTCACTCTGTGGCTCTTTATTTTAATCAGGACTCCTCCCCCTGACCCCTGAACCCCCACCCTCCTGTGTCTCCCTCAGGTCAAAGTTCATCTGCTTTATGTTGTTTAGTTTTGTTCCTGGTTAAAATGACAGTTAAGTTTAGAGTCTGAATTTATTATTTAACTTTTTCCCACTGAGTGTTTAAAGACTTAAGTCACGATTAAAAGTTCAGATTAGAGACACTTTAAATATTTACTTAAAGGCCTTTAGGAATCATTAGTCAGCAGTTAATTTAGATTAGTTCAGATCGAACCATTTTCTTTTTGAAATTATCTTTAATCTTTCTCTAAATCTTTACTTTGAATGGAGATGTTAATGCACTGTAGTGTTGTGTAGCATTTCCATTCAAGGCAAAGATTTAAAGTCTAAATATAATTTCAATTAGAAAATGATTTAATCTGAACTTTGAGTCCTGAAAGAAAAGAAGAGAGACACTTAGTTCATCATATTTAACCGACAAAAGACAAAAATCTGTGCTGAGGACATCAAACCGGACCGTGGTGAGAGATCAGAGAAGCTGCTTTACTGATCAGAGAAATTTACTGTGACGTCTTTTAAAACGGTAAAAACAAAAACAAGTGAAAAGTTTTCTGTTTGCATTTATTTTTGCATGACTGTCAGAGAAGCTGATTTAAGTTTCAAGTATCTTTAAATTAATTAATAATTGAACCTTCAGCTGTTTTGTGTTATTATTCTCGTGTTTATTACATCAAAAAAAACGTGGGACTGTTTACTCCAGAGTTTACTCCTTTATCTATAGCAGGGAAGTTTTGTGTAGAAACGGCGCCCTCTGGTGGACAGTTATATTTGAGGTTTTTTTAGAAAACACCAAAGTTCACGTGAGAATCAAAGATTTAAAGATGAACAATTCTTGATATTCTCTGTGTAATGTTATTGATTTTTTTCCTTTAAAACTTGTTTCATTTTGTTCAAATTTATCTGGTTTCAAAACGACATTATATGAAAATCCATTTGTTTTAGCGACACTGTAACTTTAAATTCATGACAAAAAATTATATTCCAGGCCGGAAAAAAAACGTCATAGTATACTATGACCAAAATTTCAGATTTTAGGGTGAGAAGAAAATTTCAGATTTCAGGATGAAAAAACATGCTATTGTGTAGTCTGATCAAAATGCCATTGTATATGATGTTAAAAATGTCATATTTTAGCCCAAAAAAAACCCCATCATATTTGGGTCTGAAAAAAAAATGTCATAGTATACTATGACCAAAATTTCAGATTTTACGGTAAAAAAAAAAAATCTGATTTTTGGATGAAAAAACATGCAATGGTGGTGTCTGAACAAAATGCCATTGTATAGGATGTTAAAAATGTCATATTTTAGTAGGAATAAAAAAAATCTTATTTGAGTCCGAAAAAAAAAAACATCATAGTATACTATGACCAAAATTTTATATCTTAATGTGAAAATTTTTATTCAGATTTTTGGATAAAAAAACATGCGATAGTATTGTCTGAACAAAATGCCACTGTATAGGATGTTTAAAATGTCATATTTTAGTTCCAAAAAAAAAAAATTATATTTGGGTCAGAAAAAAAAACGTCATAGTATACTATGACCAAAATTTCAGATTTTAGGGTGAAATTTTATTTTCAGATTTTAGGGTGTAAAAGCCTGCCATGATATTGTCCAAACAAAATGCCATAGTATAGGATGTTAAAAATGTCATATTTTAGCAGGAAGAAAAAAAATCTTATTTGAGTCCGTAAAAAAAATCATCATAGTATACTGTGACCAAAATTTCAGATTTTAGGGTGAATTTTTTTTTTTCAGATGCTAATGAAAAAACATGTCAAAGTAGTGTCTGAACAAAATGCCATTGTAAAGAATGTTAAAAATGTCATATTTTAGTAGAAATTAAAAAAAATTATATTTCAGTCGGAAAAAAAAACGTCATAGTATACTATGACCAAAATTTCAGATTTTAGGGTGAAATTTTTTTTTCAGATATCAGGATGAAAAAACATGCCATAGTATTGTCTGACCAAAATGCCATAGTTTAGAATGTTAAAAGTGTAATATTTTAGTAGGAATAAAAAAAATAATGTTTGAGTCTGAAAAAAATCGTCATAGTATACTATGACCAAAAATTTCAGATTTTAGGTGAAATTTTTTTTTCAGATTTTAGGATGTAAAAGCCTGCCATTCTATTGTCCAAACAAAATGCCATAGTTTAGGATGTTAAAAATGTCATATTTTAGCAAGAAGAAAAAAAATCTTATTTGAGTCCGTAAAAAAAAATCGTCATCGTATATACTATGACCAAAATTTCAGATTTTAGGGTGAAAATTTTTTTTCAGATTTTAGAATGAAAAAACATGCTATAGTGTAATCTGCTCAAAATGCCGTAGTTTATGATGTTGAAAATGTCATATTTTAGTAGGAATAAAAAAAATAATGTTTGAGTCTGAAAAAAATCGTCATAGTACACTATGACCAAAATTTCAGATTTTAGGTGAAATTTTTTTTTTATTTTTGGATTAAAAAACATGCCATAGTATTCTCTGAACAAAATGCCATAGTTTAGGATGTTAAAAATGTCATATTTTAGTAGGAAAAAAAGATTATTTGAGTCCGAAAAAATGTCATAATGTCCTAGGATCAAAATTTCAGATCTTATGGTGAAAAAGAATTCCTGATTTTAGGATGAAAAAACATGCCATAGTATTGTCCGATCAAAATGCCATAATATAGGATGTTGAAAATGTCATATTTTATGTTAGGGCTGTGGGTGTGGGTGTGTCCTGTGTCCTGTGTCTTCTGCTGTGTGTCTCTCTCTGGTAGGTTCCTCCCCAGGTGTCTCAGGTGAACCTGCTTGGTGTGATGAGTGGGAGCGGATATAAGAAGACACAGATGCGCTGATTCTCTCTCTCAGCCCCCGTGATCGACACTCGTGCTGCAGACCTCCCGATTTGTTGACTGTGTGTCAATCTTTTGCATTTTGGTGTTCTTGAATCCAGGTTTTCCGGTGGCAGGAGCCTGTGGTGTTTCCTCTGTTTGTTTAAATAGTTGGCAGTGAATTTTGCTTTTTGAATAATGTATTGATAATCAGCCTCATGCTCGCCTTTAGTTGTTTGATCTTCTTGTTGTAACTTTTGATTGTAAATAAATTACTCGTTTATTCTGATTTCCTGTTTCCTACACTTCATTTAGTCTCCCCTGCCTGGTTCAATTTATTGTTACTTCCCATCTCCCCCTATCCATTCTCCTGGGTCGTAACATTTAAGCTCAAATAAAAAAAAAATCATATTTTAGTCCAAAAATAAACGTCATAGTATACTATGACCAAAATTTCAGATTTTAGGGTGAAATTTTATTTTCAGATTTTAGGATGTAAAAGCCTGCCATGATATTGTCCAAACAAAGTGCCATAGTATAGGATGTTAAAATAAAATGTCATATTTTAGCAGGAAGAAACAAATTATATTTAAGTCTGAAAAAAAAAAGTCATAGTATACTATGACCAAGATTTCAGATTTTAGGTTGAAAAAAATTTTTCAGATTTCAGGATGAAAAAACATGCCATAGTATTGTCTGATCAAAATGCCATAGTATAGGATGTTAAAAATGTCATATGTTAGTAGGAATAAAAAAAATCTTATTTGAGTCCGTTAAAAAAGAAACGTCATAGTATACTATGACCAAAATTTCAGATTTTAGGTGAAATTTTTTTTTCAGATTTTTGGATAAAAAAACATGCGATAGTATTGTCTGAACAAAATGCCATAGTTTAGGATGTTGAAAATGTCATATTTTAGTAGGGATAAAAAAAATCATGTTTGAGTCCCAAAAAAAAATCGTCATAGTATACTATGACCAAAATTTCAGATTATGGGGTGAATTTTTTTTTTCAGATTTTTGGATGAAAAAACACGCAATGGTGGTGTCTGAACAAAATGCCATGGTTTATGATGTTGAAAATGTCATATTTTAGTAGGAACAAAAAAAAAATCATGTTTGAGTCTGAAAAAAATCGTCATAGTTTACTATGACCAAAATTTCAGATTTTGGGGTGAAAAGAAAATTTCTGATTTCAGGATGAAAAAACATGCTATTGTGTAGTCTGATCAAAATGCCATAGTTTATGATGTTAAAAATGTCATATTTTAGCCCAAAAATGCCCCCATCATATTTGGGTCTGAAAAAAAAAAACGTCATAGTATACTATGACCAAAATTTTAGATTTTAGGGTGAAAATTTTTTTTCAGATTTCAGGATGAAAAAACATGCAATGGTGGTGTCTGAACAAAATGCCATTGTATAGAATAATAAAATATCATATTTTAGTAGGAATAAAAAAAATCTTATTCGGGTCTGAAAAAAAAAAAAGTCATAGTATACTATGACCAAAATTTCAGATTTTAGGTGAAATTTTTTTTTCAGATTTTAAGATAAAAAAACTTGCGATAGTATTGTCTAACCAAAATGCCATGGTTTAGGATGTTAAAAATGTCATAATTTAGTGAAAAAAAACCCCCATCATGTTTGAGTCTGAAAAAAATACATCATAGTATACTATGACCAAAATTTCAGATTTTAGGTGAAAATTTTTTTTCAGATTTTAGGGTAAAAAAAAACATGCGATAGTATTGTCTGAACAAAATGCCATAGTTTAGGATGTTAAAAATGTCATATTTTAGCAGGAAGAAACAAATTATATTTAAGGCTGAAAAAAAAAAATTATAGTATACTATGACCAAAATTTCAGATTTTAGGGTGGAAAAAAAAAACAGATTTGAGGATGAAAAAATATGCCATAGTATTGTCTGATCAAAATACCATAGTATAGGATGTTAAAAATGTCATATATTACTAGGAACAAAAAAAAAAATCATATTTGAGTCTGAAAAAAAAAAAACGTCATAGTATACTATGACCAAAATTTCAGATTTAGGGTGAAATTTTTTTTTCAGATTTCAGGATGAAAAAACATGCTATAGTGTAGTCTGATCAAAATGCCATAGTTTAGAATGTTAAAAATGTCATAATTTAGCGCAAAAAAAAACCCATCATGTTTGAGTCTGAAAAAAAAACGTCATAGTATACTATGACCAAAATTTCAGATTTTAGGTGAAATTTTTTTTTCAGATTTTAGGGTAAAAATACATGCGATAGTGGTGTCTGAACAAAATGCCATTGTATAGAATAATAAAATATCATATTTTAGTAGGAATAAAAAAAATCTTATTCGGGTCTGAAAAAAAAAAACGTCATAGTATACTATGACCAAAATTTCAAATTTCAGGGTGAAATTTTTTTTTCAGATTTTCTGATGAAAAAAGAAATGGAATGGTGGTGTCTGAACAAAATGCCATAGTATAGAATGTTAAAAATGTCATATTTTAGTAGGAATTAAAAAAAATAATATTTCAGTCCGAAAAAAAATGTCATAGTATACTATGACCAAAATTTCAGATTTTAGGGTGAATTTCTTTTTTTCACATTTTGGGATGAAAAAACATGCCATAGTATTGTCTGAACAAAATGCCATAGTTTAGGATGTTAAAAATGTCATATTTTAGCAGGAAGAAACAAATTATATTTAAGGCTGAAAACAAAAAAATTATAGTATACTATGACCAAAATTTCAGATTTTAGGGTGGAAAAAAAAAACAGATTTGAGGATGAAAAAATATGCCATAGTATTGTCTGATCAAAATACCATAGTATAGGATGTTAAAAATGTCATATTTTATCACAAAAAAAACCCCATCATGTTTGAGTCTGAAAAAAAAAAAAACGTCATAGTATACTATGACCAAAATTTCAGATTTAGGGTGAAATTTTTTTTTCAGATTTCAGGATGAAAAAACATGCTATTGTGTAGTCTGATCATAATGCCATAGTTTAGAATGTTAAAAATGTCATATTTTAGTAGGAATAAAAAAAATAATATTTGAGTCTGAAAAAAATCGTCATAGTATACTATGACCAAAATTTCAGATTTTGGGGTGAAATTTTTTTTTCAGATTTTTGGATGAAATAACACGCAATGGTGGTGTCTGAACAAAATGCCATAGTATAGGATGTTAAAAATGTCATATTTTAGTAGGGATAAAAAAAAATCATGTTTGAGTCCGAAAAAAATCGTCATAGTATACAATGACCAAAATTTCAGATTTTGGGGTAAAAAGAAAATTTCAGATTTTTGGATGAAAAAACATGCCATAGTATTGTCTCACCAAAATGCCATAGTATAGGATGTTAAAAATGTCATATTTTAGTAGGATACTATACTATGACAAAATTTCATAGTACATAGTACAAACATTGAAGTATTGGAAGAACTATCTGATGTTCTCGCTGGACTGTTCGTAGCTTCTGCATAAGCTTGTGCATTTGTCATGTACAGTCTGCATGTGGGTGTCTGCACCCTCACATGCTCCCAGGAGGACAAAGCCCACTCCTCCTGCAGATGAACTTCATTTTGAAGACGTGATCCTCTGTGTCATGCTGCTCTCTGTTAGGATGTGTTTTTCTTCTCAGTGGCAGATGTGTTGTGGTGGGTGGCAGCTGCAGAGCAGAGAAATACAGCTTGCTAAGTGATTCACCCTGCTTCTGGCGCCTCTGTTACCCCACGAGTCTTTTCTCTGACATTTTTTTCATTTCTATTTACTTTACGTGTAAGTAGGACGATGGGCTTTGACAGCTCTGTCAGAAAAATGACAAGGCTGGTTGCATATGGAAGAGAGAATCTAATGGGATGTTTGGAGGCTATTTCAATTTTCATGACCCTTTTTTCCCAAAAACTTTTCCAGAGACACAAAAAAGCATTTTGACATCCTGCTAATTTGATCAAATCAGAAACTGATTCTGCAAATGAGCTCAGTATGAGCTGATATCAACGATGTCAACGACCCTGATCTCTGAGACAGTGGGTCTCCAGACTCCAGTATCTACACAGGGCAGGTGACAGGAAGTGAAAACAGAACCAAAAAGTCACTTCAGTCACCCGGACTTATTAAAGTAAACTCCTGATTCCTGACAGAGTTAAACTTTTATTCAAATGTCTCCTGAATGTCCTTAACTGACATTGACCTGTATGTGAGCCTGTCTGTAATAGATGAGGTCTCTTCTGTTTTTTAGAGTTACGTGATGAGCTGAAGTTTGTGTTGACTTTGGCGCCCCCTGTGGACAAAGTGTTCCCTCTTAGGCAGACCTGAGGGCCACATCCAGCCCTTCATGAGCTCCGTCAAACAAATGATCAACATGCTAAACAAGTGTGTTGCTTTTATTTTGTTGTTTTATTTCCGTTTGGACACACGTGTGTACATCCTGGATCTGCATTTGTGAACAGAAACAAGTTTAAACATCGGCAAAATTTACAAAGACACCTTAGAGTCGTCAAGTCTGCTTATTATAAATGACTTTAGGCTTGTTTCTCTCAGAAGTTGCTTGTAAAACTTGTGAGTCGCAGGTGTGTTTTTTCGGGTTTGTTTTTAACTAGTAGTTGTTTAAGCTGTATGTGTTTCTGTATTGTTGGTTCGGCCCCCCAACAGTGTTCAGGTGTCTCATGTGGCCCCGTGTAAAAATTTCTTTCCCCTGCTCTAAGGTCTTTGCTGATTCTTCCCTGTATAAGTGTGAGTTACTGTTCCTGATGAGATTCTCCTCCTCCTGTCCTCAGATGATGTTACTAAAGTAAAGGCAGTCAGTGAAGCTCCTCAGTCAAACGTCCTTTTCTCCTGCTGCATCCAAAAAAACTACATGATAATAATCAATCATCCTGCTGATGACCTTTATTCTGCTTTTCTCCTAAAGTTCATATTTATTTTGAGTCATGAGTGGATCTCAACCATAATCTGCAGAGTCTTTAAAATAACTGATGATGTAAAAAAGGGAAAATCAGACAGAAAATACGACATAACAGGAGTCAGTCAGTCGTCTTTACCTGGACTCTGCTCACTCACTGTTTGTGTTGTTTATAGTGTAAAAACTTGTATATTATCTCTATATTTTTACTTATTTTATCTTTTATTTATCTCCTCTTTTACTTTATTTGCACTGGAGTTACTGTAACAAAAGTAATTTCCCCCTGAGGATCATTAAAGTATTTCTGATCCTGTAAGAGTGACTTCACTGAAACATGGAGGGTAAAAACTGACTCACTGAAAAAAGACAAACGTTCTCTGAGATCTCGACAGTGCAGTTAAATTTAGAGATAAATCTGATGTTTTGTTTTCGATGGTCTCGATGTCAGTGTGCATCTGTTGTTTTCGTCTCATTTTACACGGACTCACGCCCCCTACAGTGGGATTAAAGAGCGGGTTCCTGCAGCCCTCTGTTTTTAGACGTACAGAGAGGAGAAGCAGCAGCAGTCACATCTGTCAGTGGATCTCTGTTCTGTTCACTGCTGCACCACAGCACTCACCAACCCCCCCTCCTCAGGTTCTCTCAAACAAATGTAACCCCCCCCCCTCCCTTTGAGTCATTCATACTGTTGATTCCACCTCCAGAGGAATACATCAGCCATAACGCCCTTTTTCTTTCATCAAGGCTGCAGCTTTAAAGTCATTTTCCTCCTCTCACAGGGAGCCAAATGGAGACGAGAAGATGTCGATTCTCTCATCTCTTTGTCTGTCCCCTTTGATCTCTCTCAACATGAATTCCCAATGCACAGAAAGTAAATGGGATTTCTCTCTCTCCCTCTCTCTCTCCCTCTCTTTCTCCGTCTTTCTCTGGAGCATGGTTGTTCATGCAAAATTGACCAGAAATGACTCCTAATGACCCCCGTGTTTTACTCAAACAAGAAGAAAGAATACCTAAAAACACACTCCTGGCTATCATTCCTCATTTTAATAAAGGATGAATAATTCAGGGCGCACTCGTATAAATAATAACCCGGCGCACCAATGCTGGGAAGAGCTTTAAAGAGGCCAGTGCATGTGCAGGAGTGTGTGTGCTTTTTTGGACAAAGGTTTCAGCGGCGCGCACATGCCGGTGTGTGTTGTCGTCTGTCGCATTAACAGACAGCAGTTGTGATTTATCTTGTATTCCCAGCGCAGGGGCCCCCTCTATCTCTGTGGAAAGGTTAAAGCATACAGCCCGGAGGCGGTACGACAAAGGTCAACATGCAGTTTAGGGATGAGGAATAGGACAGAGGGAGAAAGGAGGTGAAGATATGCACTCCACTCCTGGAAACACACAGTCCTGTCTGTCCTGCAGTCTTCAGCCCTCGATTCTCGGACTTATCATCGAATATCTCATATCATAAAAACAGCTGACCTTGAGAGAGGGATTATACACGTGAGGAGAAAAATAGAAACTGCAAAGGTAAGTGATGGCAGGTGACAAAGGAAACAGTAAACAAAAAGGTGCTCCTTTAATGGACCCCTCCAACCACGATGTGAGACAGCTGGTGATAAAACGGCGAGCTGCTGGGCCGTTAAAGACGAGCAGAGAGGGGGGAGAGGCTGCGAAGACGCACCAGCGTCTTCGGTGACTCAGATGTGTTGAGGTGATTAATCTGCTTTGGCTTCGTCCTTCACAGGCCCGAGGCGGAGAGCTGAAACGGCGACACAAGGCTGCCCCCTAGTGGAGCAGAGGGGGAGATGAAGAAAAAGGAGTCATCTGTTTTCCTTCGCTTCGAGCTCGGTCATCACTTTCTTTGAGTTTCAGTGAAGAGGAGAAAAAAATCAGAGTTAGAGTTAGAGAGAAGTTACAGAAACCCCAAACAGTGACATTTTCATTACATGCTCTATGGATATTCTGAATAGAAGTAAATATTTAACAAGAATCAAAAATTCAGTCATTATTTTCTCATTTATTCTTTTATAATTATAATTGTATTTTTTATTTCAAAACTTGTTAAAGGAGAACAATACTCACATTTCATATCTCAGACTATAGAGTCTGAGATATTTCTTGTTCTGGAGGCACCGCTGACGGTCAGACCTTAAATTTAGGATTCCTTATTGAAAAATCACAGTTTTTATCGACACCAATAATCTTTGTTTGGGTCATCTTCTTTTTTTTCTCTTCAAATTCACTCTAAGAAAAAAGGAAACTCAAACCTGTCCAAGTAAATATAATATAAGTGCCAAATAACAAAATTCAGAACAGCTGTCTGTTAGTTTGTGTTTTTGTAGGGATGTATTTTTCAGTACATGAAAATACATCCCTAACTGACTTATTAACTGCTTCTTTCTAAGTGTAAAGCATGTGCATACTCACCTAAAAAGTAAAGTAAGCAAATATAATAATAATAATAATAATAATAATAATAATAATAATAATAATAATAATAATAATAATTTAAAAATGGGAAAATAATAAATGTAAAAATAATGTAATAATAAAAAATTACCAATAAAATGGTAATAAAAATTAATAAAAATAATAATAATGATAATAAAATGGTTATAAAATGGTTAATAATAATAATAATAATAATACTTATTATTATTATTATTATTATTATTATTATTATTATTATTATTATTATTATGGAAATAAGAATAATAATAATCATCATCATAAAAGTAATAATAGTTTTATTAATAATAATAATAATAATAATAATAGTTTAAAAATGGAAAATAAATGGTAAAAATAATGTAATAATAAAACATTACCAATAAAATGGTAATAAAAAAAAAATAATAATAATAATAATAAAATGGTGATAAGTGATAAAATGGTTAATAATAATAATAATAATTATTATTATTATTATTATTATGGAAATCAGAATAATAAGAATAACCCTCATCATCATCATCATAAAAGTTTAATAGTTTTAATAATAATAATACTAATAATAGTAAAAAAAAAAAAATAATAATAATAATAAGAGACCCTCAAAGCCCTTTCCATTGGATCCATCATTCATCCATTCATTCATTCATTCATTCATTCATTCATTCATTCATTCGCTCACACAGTCACACTTCTGTGGTGGTAAACTACTTTAGTAGTCACAGCTGCTCTGGGGCAGACTGACGGAAACATGGCTCCCAGTTTGTGCCTACAGCCTTTCCTACCACCACACAACACTCACAATCACACACACCAGTAGAGGACACACACACTGGGAGCAAGGAAGGGTTAAATGTCTTGCCCAAAGACCCAACAGACAGACTCAGGATAGGGGGGAATCGAACCGCCAACCTTCCAGTTATTGGTCGACCGCTCTATCTCCTAAACTACAGCTGACCCAAAATGTGTTTTATCGTTCAAATTTTAGAGTAAAATAGAAGTAATCCATAAACAACCTGGGTACCAAACAGGAAATAATACTCACTTTAATGCCAATATATGTTTATTTTCCAATCAAGTAAACCATTTCAGACATATTCAAAAATCCAATCCAAGATTCACAGAAATAAAAAAAGGCAGTACACTTTTATTGAGGCTAAAATAAAACAATGAGTGATATGCACATTAGAACATTTGTTCCACTCAGAAGCAGTCAGTGCTCGGCTCTGAGAGCTCCAGAGAACCAGAGAGCAGGAGAGAGTAAAAACAAGACCGAACATGAGAAACAGAGGTCATCTGTCGACACGAGGAGGTATCTGCACTTCAACTGCCTTGGTTGGATAAAACGGCCCCTCAGAGGTCAAATGTTCCAGTATGATCTCATATTCATCAACACAATAATTCAGTTAAAAAAATAGACATCATTAATGATCGTCCCTATCATACATTGTCTCTCCAGCCAAGGCAAAGAGCAGCTGATGAAGGCAGCAGTTGAGGTATTTGTACTTCATTCAGTCTACACGTCTGTTGATCGACCACAGGAGGGAGAGAGGGAGCAGTAGTTCAGACTGAGGAGGGAGGGGTCCCGCCTTCGTCAACAGGAGAGAGTTCGACCACGACTAAAGATGGAGGATAAGTCAGGGTTTTATGGTCTTCTTATGGAAACCGAAATGTGGGTTTGGACAGTACGTCAAAACCCGGTGTGCTTTATATCAGCCTTTTATTCCACTTTAAGGAAATGTGCTTACTCTGTGTAACTTCAGTTCGGCCTGGATACGAGGATAAAAGCAAATCTAACTCTGAAAATTAGAGATTTAATCGCCTACAACAGTTTTGAAAAACAGTCCTAATTAATAAATGTTCTACTTCTTTCCAGTGGGAGGAAAAACTTGCAAAACTTCACATATTTTACTGCGTTTAAACCAAAAATATAGTTTGACAAAGTTTCCGTCTGAATGATCGATAATTTGGAGAGTTATAACTGCTAAAGCTGGACGGTGTGACACCCCAGCACAAAATTAGAAGGAGAAAAATAAAGACTAACTTAAATATAATTTAAACTGGTCTTTTTGTTCCTCCTTAAAACTTTTAAGTCAGTAAAAGTGATAAAAATTGATGGTTTCATTCAAACTAAAATTCAGTTTTCTCTCCTAAAAGTCTGAATTTAAATCAGAACTTCCTGGTTCTGCTCGACCACCAGTTTTCTCCAAATCCCTGTTTGTAATTAAAATTAATTCAACTTAAAAAAACAGCCTTAAAATCGAGTATTTCTCTACAGTCTTTGACTTTCGTACAAATATTGGACAAGGACGGCAGATATGTTGAAATTACTAATTTTTCGTAGTCGTTTATTGAATATTAACTTTAGATTTTCTTTGGAAAACAGCAGGACTGCAGCGTTTTAACTGGACAGATATGAAACTGAAAATACCTGAAAACTTCCCCTGATAGAAACATGAGCATGAAGACATTATCTCGTCCGTACATGAAGTTTCCGTACAAACTCACATTATTCTGGATCTTATAAAACGATGAACGGTGGTTGGTTTTTCAGCTGTGATCTCTGCTGCTGTTTCCATAAACTAACGTTCAGTTTTGGATAAATTGATTTAAGGATACTTTAACTTAGTGGGATAACTGACTAAAGATGTGATTTATTTTCTACTTTAATGAAAAACTAAAGAAAAAGACCATAAACCCGATTTATCCTCTTCTCTTCTTCACCTCCACATAAAAATAAAATACTGACAGAAAGGCCCGAACAGACGTTTCTAAAAGTTCAGCTGATTTTCAGTTTGTCAATAAATACCTGTTATAGTTGATGTTATTAGTGGCCGATTATTCATTTGAACACAATCATAAAATCATCTTACTGCTCTTACGTTTTATTATTTCACCATTTAAACCACCGTGTGGCAGAAACGCCTCACTATCGTCTCTGGTTTAAGTATTTTATTTGAAATAACTGCGACCACACGCTAGATTTGTACGTGTTTATTTCTGCTGAATAAAATACTGTGTGAATTCTTGGTTCATTTTGACTCGAGCTGAACCTGCGACTGAAACGAAACCTGATTTCAGATCCAAATATTTCAGCCTGTTCTGAGTGAAACCCTCAGTGAGAGACTCTGCAGCCGTTTCTCGTGTCTGCGTGATCATTAACTCGATCAGAAACAGGTGATCGTTTTGTTGTCCTATATGCAGCCTTGTTAAAACAACACCAGAGTAAACACGACCAGCCAGAGAGAGGGGGTGTGGCCAATACTGAACAGACTTTAGAGAGGAGATCAATCAGTAGTTACATTGATTGGAAAAAATAAAGCTAACAACAACAATAATATCACTATTTTAAGGTGGTTTATTTTTGTTCATAACTGGCATTAAAAGCATTAATTTTCACGTGTCCCCAACAAAGTGATTCCCAGCTGAGTTCGAGGTGTAATACTGTTGTCACATGCAAAATCAATATCTTTGATCTCATGAGTTAGTTAGGAAAAAAAAAAAAAGGTACTGATAACAATATCATCGTAATAAACATGTTTTTAGAATGACGTCGTCTAGGTAATGTCACCATTAGTACAAAATCTACTGATTTAAGGTTAACTGTTGCCACATTCAACTACAACTGTAGTCTGCAACGAGAGGGGCCATCTCCAAACCGCACGACTTCTGATTATCTGAGGCTGTAAAAATGGCCGACAAAGGCCGTCGCCATGGAGCCGGAGAAGAGGAAAAGATCGATTTGGTAACAGGGTCAGACGAACAAAACACAGAGATAAGCACCCCTTTGTGCGAAGTACAATCCAATTCTTCTCCACCTTCAGCCCGTCATATCAAGTGGTTACAAAACAGGTATGATAAAATACGAACAAACTCAAAACAACAATCCAAGTCTCTTCAAAATGTGGAATTTCTCATATTTCTCATCAGCTAGCCCGTCACACTGAGGTAAACCAGCCGGATGTCTGTCATGATCTGAGACGTCTGAAAACCTGTGTAAAAACCTTCAAAAAGAGCGTTGATTGTAAGAGATATTTGGAGTCACGAGTGAGGAGCCGTTTCAGGGCCGATTCATTGAAAATGCCGTGTGACTCTAGTGCGACAAATGGCGATTTATTAAAAAGAACGACTGCATGGAGGAGGTAGAGGGGGCTGGAAGGAGGTAAGGAGTTTGTGGAGGAACAGCACATATGAGGTAGGCTTTTGCTGTAAACGAAAAAAAAAAGAAAAGAAGAAAGAGAAAAAAATGCAGAAAAAGGGGAAAAAATTAACTCCTAAAAATGGGAAGGAAGACCAGGGAGTCTGTGGCAACACAAGGGAACTTCTCACACAACACCTCAGTACAACAGAGACCTAAAGTTAATCATACAAGCTCATCAAAAAATATACAAAACAAAAAGAAATGCACAACTATGTATAACTCAAGAGGTAGTTGCTAATATCAGTACATGATCAGTTACATATGTCTCTTCAGAGTTGCTTTACAGAGTTTGTTGAGTCAGTCAGTGGATGATTCCCAAAAGAATAAAATACACTTTTTTGGTTAATTCCCTGAGAACAGTTCATCATCCTGAGAGGAATTGTGTGTAAAAATGTAAAAATACATCATCATACAAAAAGATGTTGCTTCCATAAAGATCTGAGCATGGGCTGTGCTCCTCATGTGGTTTGGTCATTCACTTCTTTTTATCTCCTGTCATGCTGCATTGTTGAGATTTGATTTCAAACACTCGCACACATTCAAAAAGCTGTACATTAAAAAAAAAAAACAATAACAACTGCAGTGTTGCACTTTCAGCAATAAGACTCTTATTGTGAAAGGGCAAGAATAGCAAGCACTTCAGCAAGTCTCAACTTTTAAATGCCTTCAAGAAATAAAGCCAAACTCTTTGGTATAGGAATATACCAAAAAAAGTTGGTTGTCTACTTAGAGCTTTAAAAAAACACGAGCTAGTTTCATATTATCATACAAAGTTATTTTGATTTGTCAGAACACTTAAGATACAACTCTGAAGTGAACTTTTGTGAGGTGTCGACTTCAGATAAGCTCTTTTCACATTCAATATGGTCAGAGAAGAGTTTTAAGGTCACAAATAAGTGCCACTAAAGCCATGCTTGGGAGTCAAGTTATACCAAAAGCAGCACTTTCTTTCTCTCTCTCTTTCTCTCTCTCTGTTTTCAGTGAGTCTAGAGCAGCAGCAGAAGTGACGCTTCACCCTGAACAGAAGTGAGCGGTACCTGGCTGGTGCTGACTAAGACCAAGTAGGCACAGATGGAAGAGGGACAGGTGGTTGGATCTCACTGCTGGGAGAGCAAAATAACAGCTTGACATTCTGCGACATTCATCTTCGAGAGGAAGAATAGGTGAGGTATTCGGTAAGTAGAGCAGCTGTGATGATACCGAAACCCACTGTGTGAAAAGATGGACGACGTGACAGCTCCCCGTGAGTGGAGACAAACCTTGGCAGCAGTAAAGGTCAGAGGCTACGTTCACACCGCAGGTTCTGATCCACAATTCAGACTTTTGTTCAATCCGATCTTTTTGTCCATGAAGTGGACCGCATGAGCACAAAGCAGGACGTGACAGAGTGTGTTTGCAGAAGTACAATCGAACAACGAGAACTGTGTCGAACAACGTTTGTCACATATTGATGAACGCGACCTGAGCGTCACACTGCAGTCACATCAGATACATATCTGACTTATATCCACATACAGAAGAGGCCTGGGTCGGATTAGAACCAATCAGAATTGACCTGTTCACACTTAGATGAAAACATCAGATATGAGTCACAGATGGTTAAAACATCAGATTGACCTGCAGTGTGAGCGTAGACTAAGATGGAACATATTCAGAAGTTCTTTAGTCTGTTTGTTCGTCGTTATTAAGTTGGTGTCTGTGCGGCTGACTGGGATCTTTTTCATGTTATCAGGAAACTAACCACCAATTTCCACCGCAACCGGAACAGCGACGAAAAGGTCGTATCCTCCGATCGTAGCTGATCGTAACCATTCAAGTTAACGTGTCAATTTACACCGACTTCTTTCCGTTCCTCTGCGGATCGCCGGACTCCTCAGCTGATCACAAGAGTTCTATTTTTTCTGGACGCCGGAGCATGGCGGATAAATTCAGCACAGATTAACCCGTGCTGGAAAGGAAGTCGGGCACAGACACAAAATAAAACATCCGGCTTCTTTTCGGAGACGAACAAGTGAAAGGTTTTTAGACGTCATTTCACCCCGATGACACCATGGATGAGGAGATGCTGATTCTAGAAGTCTAGAAGTAGATTTCCTCCTCTGGAAGGACACAATCTACTGGTCCTTTCGCACATTAAACTATAATCCATAAACATAAGGGAACAACAGAGACCTGATGGTGCTGTGACTGAGTTTACAGTGAAAATACAGATGGTCTGTTGTATCTGAACAGGTTAGCTTAGAGCTAAAGTTACTTAGCACAGATGAAAGTTCAAACAAAGACGTTTATCAAACTGTTAAAGCTCACAAACCATCGTCAGATGAGAAATCCGACACTATGACTCTCCACAAGTCGTCCTTCAGGTCGTTATCTTTGTAATATTTGTGTCTTTTATCAAAAATCACTCTGTTCTCCGACATGTAAATAAAAATAAATGCTGCAATATTGCAGGACGGGAAAACGTCCCTGATGTGAACGCTTGTATTGACAGGATACGGGTTTGAAAAAAAATACTGACGTTTGAAATAATCGCACGATAAAAATAGTCCCGGTGTGAAAGGACTAGAGAATGACACAGGAGCAGATTTTCACTCCTGTCCCGTCCCACTCCCACTCAAAATTACTCCCACTCTTGTCCACTTTTCACTTCCGGTGGCGACAGGAAGTCAAACCACTGTTGTAGTTCTTTCATGTTGCTAGCGCGGTCAAGAGTGTCGTCTCTCACTGAGAGATGACTACAAAAATAGACGCATCTGTTCATCTGGTTGTTTACCGCGGCTGAAAATGATCATCTATTCATGTTGTTCCTGCTTCCGCAGAAATCGCTGATCGGAGCCCTCCTGGACGCGGTGAAAATTGGGGTTAAGGTGATCGGCTACATCAGCTGTTTCCCGCCGCACAGACTCCAAATGCATAAATGAAGATCTCTCTTCACGGAGCCTCACTCTTGAACAGCAGAGAGGCGGAGACGGCGGTCCATCTTTACACACAGTGGGCGGTCTGAGAGCACACTTTGAATCTAACGAGGTGAGTGTTGGGTTTGTGCTGGGTCATCGTAGGTGATCGAAGGCATGGAGTAAAAAACTGATTTGAGGTTAAATAGAGAGAGAGCTACAAGATTTCACACGACAACAAAGAATCCCATGCAATATACAGGGCTATCCACCTACGTCAGCTAACTCCTTATATACGCATTACTTAAAGTTAATAGAATTTCAATTATATCTTGTGACTTTACATATATATTAATGACTTCTACTATGATTTTATAAACTGCAATGTTATTTTCAACTAAGTCTGTAACAACCAAAGTGGAAGTCTAATAATCAGTCCAGGACTCGGAGTCTAAACTATCAGGATTAAAGGAAGTCTTCTCTACGGCGTGATTATCGCTGATCTCTGAGGAAACTGAGCGATTAGAGTGTCCACCTCAGTCTTGAGTTCTTTCTGATTATGCTCTCTCTCTCTCTCTCTCTCACACACGCACGCACACGCACGCACGCACACACACACACACACACGCTCTTTGACAATCAGTTGGTCCAGTCTATTTCTTGGAAGAGAGAGGTATGTAGTGAGTGTTTCAAGATTACAGAGAGTGTGTTTAGCAGCCCATCGTCTTTAGAAAAACTCCCTCTGGATCCACGACGGAGCGTCTAAAACCAAACTAACAATCCTCCGAGTCGGGATTATCACTTAGAGGGTCTTGAGCTTTTAAAAGTCTTCTTCTAATCCTTCTTAAAATGAGCTACTGTGCGCGCTAAAAGGATGCATCGAGATTTTTGGAATGATTAGGCCTAAAGCGTAAAATTCATCTGCGGCGACTGTAATAAAAAACGCCATCAGAGCGGCGGACGCTCGGGCCGAGAGCGATCATCGTAAAGAAAAGACAGGGAGAGAATCATCAGACCAAGATTCATACCATGCTGTTTCACTCTGGAGCTGCACTGATTGAAACAAGAAAAACAGTCGTTCCCTGCAGTCACCTCTCCAGCGGCGGTTGCCATAGCTGCATCAGACGACTGCGAGACAGTCACACGCACTCACACATGTCCGTACCCCGGTGATCGTTGCCATAGCTGCGCTGGTTAGAAAAATAAAAACGAGTAAACTAAAAGGAAAGAAACCAAGACCTCCCATTTTTCACGTGTGTGAGGTAGATGAGGGGGGGTTGGGTTGGAGGGGAAGGGGGCGGGACTCCAGGTATCCTTGATTGAGAGGAGACATGAGGGTCGGGGGGTTCGCGGCGAACGGTTCACCTCCACCAGCTGTTTTTCAGGATTTCCTCCACCTCTGGGTCCGGGGGCCGCGCGTGTGAGGCTCCTCAGGGGAGGATGAGGAGCCCTCCAGGGGAGACGAGCCGGAGCGCTCCTCCTCCTCGGGGGGGCAGAGGTAGGGCCCGGTCCCTGGGCTGAAGGCCGAGGTCGAGGTAGACGCATGTTGGTCCTGAGAGCCTGTGGCGGGCACCAGTGCCTTGTGGGGACACTGAGCCACCATGTGCGTGATGCTCTGGCAGTAGTGGCATTTCTTTGGCTGGGGGGGCAGGCCACACTCCTTGGCATGGTGGTCCAGACCTCCACAGTTATAACAGCTAGAGGGGACAGAGGAGAGACAGAGGGGATGACACAGGGACATGAGGAGGAGGCGGTGCCATACAGAGGAGGCGGTGACGGACTGAACGCCTCGTTTCATGATGATGTTTAGACTCTGCGCTCAGGAGACCCAAGAAAACAAACAACAACTTCACTTCTACTCCAGTGTCTCAACCATTCAGAAACAAGTTTTTATCACATCTCTGCTCCACACTCCGGCTCGGCTCGCTCCTGTTAGGCCTCTGACTGTTAAACTGACGTCAGATCAGCAGCAGGGCGACTCTGTCCTGTTATTATGACTCTGAAGGTCGTTACAGACCGGCGAATTAGCAAAGTGACGTGAAAAAGCAGCACAAAATATTCAGCTTACACCTTTTCCTCTACACACCTGGAGCAAGAGGGAATAAAATTCACATAAAAATACGCCACAGGAGAACAGAGAGGGCGAGGGAAGGAGGAGAAAAAATGTCGACTACAACCTCCTCAAGTGGTGACGACCTGGTCATGGTTGTGAGACGATTAAATAACAAAAAGAAAAAAGAAGAATCAAAGTGTCTGAGTCCGTCCAACACTGACCTTAGACAGGAGAAGGAGGAGCTCCACAAAACGATTCAGGAGCTAAAATTATATCCTGAGAAATTCTGACAATACTTCAGAAAGAGCTGCTCCATCAGCTGACTCCACGTCAGGGGGGGAGGACAAACTACAGAGAGCCGACTGATCCAGAGCATGAAAAAATTACAGTCTCTTTTCCGCTCTGCAGAAGTTCGTAGCCGCTGTGGAAGCTCGCGTTGACTTAATGAGGATTTTAAAAAAAGCAAATGATTCACTTCGCTAATTCACCGATGTGTAACGACTTTACAGTGAAGGACGACATGACAGGAAAAATCCTGACAAACACCATCAACGTATAACAGGCTAGAGCAAAGAAATGTTAGAGTTTTTAATTTTTGTTTATTGTGCGTAGATATTTATCCAGTTCTTTTTGGAAATCAGAATTTTGTCACTGGTTTCACTTAAATTAGTCTTTAACTAATTAAAGGTCTGGTGAGCCTGCTGTAACAAAGGTGTTACATTAAATAACTAGACATTGATAATTAATACATTAAACTATTTTTGTTCTGTAGCCAGAAGCACAATTTCTAAGTTGACTTTAATTTTTCAGAGTAATTTACAAAAAGAAAAAGAAGGAAAATCCACATTTTTACCTCAAACAAACACATCAAATGGTCACTTCACTGTCAGACATTAACATGTGTTTTAATTTAATTTTTAATTTAATTCTATGTTTTTTTTTCTATTCACAATGAAAAACACATTCCTTTTTTTATTTTATTACATTTTTAAATCTCTCAGGGGTCGGGTTTATTTCTGAGGAGCAGCTCTGTTTGACTCACTTTATCCTTTTTTCCGTAACAGTCTTTAAACATTTTAATCTCATCTTAACATTTTCGTCCACGTCTGTTCAGCTGAAATATGCTGACATGTCTGTATTACAGAGTCCAGATTAAAAACTGTCATGAGATTAAGGGTAAGGAAAAAACCAACCCCACAGAAAACATCCAAGATAATAGGTGCTGTAACTCAGATTTTCCACTAGATGGTGCTACGACACATGATATGACAGTGGCTCTAATGTGAGCAGAACCGTGCCTTTCATTGTGTTATCATATTTGACATGAAGCAATTGGCCGATTAAAGAGTCTGAAAATGCTGCAGACACATGTGACCAAAATCAGCTGATCAGGACGCCTCAAAGATCTGAGCTCGAATCAAATCAAACCGACAAACTGAGTGAATTCATGAATCTGCTGTACAAAGCTCGACACTCCTCAGACCTGATTCACTCATTCATTCACTGATGAGACATTTTCCACTGAAACACATGAGAGTGAATCATGGTGGTTTTATCTGAGGCCCAAACTGTGTCTTTGTGGAGAATTAACAACCAGACGCATCAAACTAAAGTTCAAAACAGAGACAGTAAGTACAGTAAATATGGAGGACACATCAGAGAGCATAAATAAAGACAGCAGACCATCAAACTAACAAACCAGAGACCAGAGGAGGAGACCAGACCTGACAGGTTCTCCTGAAGATCACCGAGCTGGACTAAAATAATGACTCCAGAGAACATTTAAGTCTCAACTTTTACACCAGAAATAATAATAATAATAATAATAATAATAATGATAATAATAATAATAAAACATTAAACTGATAGACAACTACACCTGGTTGAATCTAAAATATACAAACTTGAAGAAAATGCTCTCAGTAACTTATTTCTTTCTCCTCCTTCTTTATGATACCCACATGTACGCCCTCGTGTATTATTGAATTTTTGTAAATAAAGGCCTTTTGACAGCATGCTGTTTAACCAACAGAGGGAGAGATTAAACATAAGTTTTATTTATAGTCTAGTTTGTTTCTGTAGAACATAAAGAGACATCAGTATGAACCATCTTAAAGCTCCTCAGAGGAGTTTTCAATAATCCATCAGAATGATTTAATCCCTGATGAGTTTCTGTAACTGGATCAAAACTGGACTGTAAAGATCCAGAACTGAGGAAAATCTTTAAACCTCTAAGATTATTTCCAACAATTTAAACGGTTTTTAATAAACAGCAGAAATCTCCTCACAGTAAATAGTTACATTTAATTTAACTGTCAGGAATTATGAATTCATCCATGTTGATGTAAAAAAGGTATTTAAAAACATTTTAAATACAAACTTATTAAAAAATTTTATTTATTTAACAAACATCTTCAGCAACAAGAACGGAGAAAATAAAGATTTTTAAAACAGTTTCTGACATGAAAAAGCTCCTAAACTTTTAAAATCTCTGTGTTGGCTAGCTGTGTCTAATTTTAAAGATGATTTTAAGGTTCTTTCATTAGTTTTTAAAGCTCTTAATGGTCCTTCTTATTTGTCTGATTTATCGTATGATCCCGGTCGAGCCCTCAGGTCTTCAGGTCTTTTCATTTTTCCCAAAGTAAAAACTAAAACATGCGGTGAATCATCACAGCCTACCTGCAGACCTGAGAGCGACACCTACTGTTCAGATCTTTAAAAGTAAACTAAAGACCTTTTTAGTCTTTGAGTTAAATTTTGTTTTTATTCTCTGCATGATGTGATTTTATCCGACTTTAGACCTAGAGTGACTATTATGTGTTTTATTACCTCTTTTTAATTTACCTCCTGTTATTGTTTGATTTTAAGACTCTTTTATTTCAGTAACTTTTAAATCTTTATCACCTTTATTATATTTTATTATAGTTTTATCGTTTTAGTCCGAGATCCAGAGTTTCCTCATTTCTTTTAACTCAAGTTGAAGAATCCTCACCTGATCTGACGCATCTGTGTGTGTGTGTGTGTGTGTGTGTGTGTGTGTGTGTGTGTGTGTGTGTGTGTGTGTGCGTGCGTGCGTGCGTGCGTGCGTGCGTGCGTGCGTGTGTGTGTGTGTGTGTGTGTGTGTTGAATGGCGGTTGGGAGGGTGGGTGTTGTTTGGTATTTGTATTTTTATTTATTTTATTTCATTGTTTTTAATATCCTGCTTGAATGGACAGAACCTTGTTCTACATTATATGTATGAAACGTTCTTTACAAATAAAGTCTGATCGACTGTTTGAAGCGTGTGTGAGAGGATAAAACACGGTTATTCATAAGAACTGTTATAAAATAGTTGGGTGGATTTATTCAGTGACTAACTGGTGAACTATGTTGTTTTTTAAGTACCAGGAACCACATTAGATCCCGGCCTAATGAAGACAAGATGGCTGAAAATATTTGAGACACAACTCATCACATACCGGAGCAGAGATGTTTGTGGAGCGTCATCACGGCGGAGAACCTCCACAGTTTCCACTCAGAGGAACAAATGAACCCACTCTTGGTTCAAACACCTTCAAACCGCAGCAGCAGCAGCAGCAGCAGAAGAAGAAGAAATGTCACAACGCTCGGTTGCATAACGGAGTGACCAGCAGGGGTCAGAGCAGCGAAACTACTGCTCACACTGAGCGCGCTCACAGTGACAGATTACATCACAGCTGTCTACCTGCCATGTCTGAAGCCAACGCCGCCTCGCTCCCACCTCAGGAGAAGGCAGCGACACTTGACCTAACACTGGATCAATTATCCCAAATCACCTGAATTATTCAGCTGTGTAAACCAATCAGCCTCCTGCCTCAGATCCTGTTTCCTCATTCCTCACACCAGCTCTCCTCTTCACACTCAAACCCGGAGGAGAGCTGGACTTTCTCGTCTTAATGGATCCCTGTCGCTCGCCCTGTGAGATACACTCGAATAATTCTCCTCGTCCTTCTCTGTCTCCTCTGCTCTTAACTCCGAGCTCTGTATGGTTGTTTCCTTCGGACAGATTCGAGCAGAGCACCCTTCAGGATTTCACTGCAGACAAAACGATTGATTGAGCGACTGCCGCATTGAGATGCATATAAACCCAATCCTTCCCTTCCTTCCCTTCGTCTGCTAATGCTGTCTCTAATGTAAAAGCTAGTAAATTGATTTAAAATAGCGGCGATGGCGGGCAAAGTGCCCTATTCAGTTCCTTGTTATGGTGCACAATAACCATAGCAACAGGCATGTAGTCTGGCAGATTGAATAGATCTAATCTATAATCTCAGCCCACTCAGAAATCGCTCGCCGCGTTCACATGTACGTATATAACATATGTCTCCCTCCACTGTAGGCAGCTCTCCAAACGCAAACACATTAAGGGTTGTTTTGGGTGAAGCAAAGACTCATGGGATATAAATGCATACATGAGTCATTACATCCCCGCAGAAACGAAAAAGACAGAGCTGATGTTTCCTGGATCTCTCTCTCTCTCTCTCTCTCTCTCACTCACCGGTCTCCCTTTGGTTTGCGTTTCTGGAGTGGGACCTTCCCTTTGGGTCGTCTCTCGCTGCCTGCACAGGGTCCCCCACCGGGTCCCGTCACCCGGAGGGACTCCAGGCCCTTGGAGGACTTCTTATAGGTGAACTCCACCTGCTCACCCTCCTTTAAGCTGCGGAAGCCCTCCATCACCAGTTTGCTCTGTTGGGAGGAAAAAAGCAATTATCCATTTAAAAGCGGCTGGCGCTTATAGCTCGATGAATTCATAATGATGATGTCTGCAATACACGAGGGTGTGTGTTCAAGACAGAGGAGGTACACACTGTGGCAGGCCGTGTGTGTGTGTGTGTGTGTGTGTGTGTGTGTGGAGTTGGGTCGGGTTGGTACCTTCAGTGCTCACAGACAGACAGCAGAGAGACGTCTCCTCCCTGAGTCTGAGTCAGTCTCAGAGAGTTTCACCTTGACTGGACCGAACAAAGACTCACTGAGTTCTTTTCTCAGGTGTGAGGAGAGTCTCTGTCTTTAAGGTAAACCTCATTTTTTCAATGAAAGGACTCGTCTGAATCTCTCTGCACAGAACCCTAACCTTAGATAACACTTCAGCATCATCATCATCATCATCGTCATGTGTGATCTCCAGGATACACAAGTTAACCACGGCGGCGGTGAGCTCTGTGAGCACTGCGGCAAACACGACATGATGAACACGCCGGTTTGAATGTTTTGGATCGACTGTTTGCTCCAACTGCCATGACAGTCTGTGCACAGAGGGACTTATCTCACACACAACGCCGCCGACGCCGCCGCCGCCGCTGCCGCGTCCCTGCTTTACACCCTTTATCTACTTTACCCAGAAACACCACATCCTCCTTTTCCTCCAGCAGAGAGAAGACGGCGAGGAGGCGCTCACAAACGTGCAATCTTTGTCTCTCAGCACATCCATCTTATCTACATGATCGCCATTATTGATTCGGTTACTACATAACCACCGGACGATGATTTATGTCTCCGCCGTGGCACAGAACGGACGCCTGAACCGCGCCGCATCTGTGACCTTCATGAATCGAAGGGAGCCCTGCAGATCCGGGCATAGGTAAACACGCCCACACGAACACGCAGCGAGTGAGCGAGCAGAGCAAACCCACTACCTACTATACATCCAGGGCCTAAAAATAACAATGCAGGCGATCAGAAAATTCAGCGCCCGCCGGAGCAGCAGATGTGTAGGAGACAGGAAGAGAAAGGAGCAAATGAGCAGAGGGAATCAAACGTGAAACCAGAGAGGAAGGAGGGAAAAAGCGCTCGGCAGCATTTTTTCTATAATGTCTGTGGACGACAGCACTTACAGGAAGCTGAAGGTGCTCTATACGAGGTCTATTCATAGATGGAGATGAATATGGAAGAGAGCAGAAGAAGTGGGTAAAGAGAGGAGTGGGAATGTGACAAAGGAAGTGTGAATTAATTAAAAACTAAGAGCTCAGCACACACACACACGTGTAAACCTAAGAAAGTGTAATACCACAAACACACACACACACACACACACACACACTGATGTTAGAGCGAGGTCAGCGCTCAGAGCAGAGATGCTTTAAAAAAAAATACTGGATTAATTTACACATTTACACCAGAGCTCCACTCTTACATTAATAACCTTTAATTCAGATTTTAAATAAAATTAAAATGAAATAATAAAAACTTTTAAAAAATATTCTTTGAATGAATTTTTGTTTTCAAATCACAGAAATGTTCAAACACCGATTTTTAAAAACTGACTGAAGAGTTTTTCTCCTAAAGCTTTTAATAAAATCCTTTTAAATGACATTTACTTTATTTAAGGACAAAAACATGATGGAGTTAAATAATCCGGATCAGGCCAAGATCACCACAGAACGCAGGATAAACTGTCAGGATATGAACATTTAATCACAGCAGGAAATCTCTCAAGTTTTCACTTTTGTTTTCTAAAAATATCTCAGATTAAAGTTTTAAACTTTTACAAATTTAGAGTTTTTATGTACCTCTTATTTCTGTCAGCGGACATAAACGAGCAGGTATTTAATGATCAAATGAAAGAAAACACAGAAATAGACGCCGACGTGATTTTATGAGAAATTCACAGACTTTTAATTTAACAGAACTTTAATTAGAATAAATAATAAATACCAATCATTTCAAGTTTTAATGTAAAACAGAGAATATCAGTCAGGAAGGAGCGAATTATACTTTAAATTAAGAAAATAAGATTAAAACGACTTTTTGTTTATTACCTCTATAAACGTATCTGAAGCTCTCACTCCTGTCTTCTTCACCTTTAATATTTAAGATTATTTTATCATAAAGCTGCTCATGTTGAATTAAATTATTAATTAATTAATTTAGTAAAAAACAGTCTGAGTGTTTTTTTCTCTCTCCTCGTCTTCTTCGATTCTCAGCTGATGGAGGACGAGTTCAGGTATCGGATTTGGCTTTGAGGAAACGATGAGGATCAGGGAACGGAGAGGAACGAGAGCGAGGTTTTGGAGGCAGGTAAAGGTGGAGTAAAAGTGGAGGAGTGAGGAGGAGTGAGGAGGAGTGAGGAGGAGTGAGGAGGAGTGGGGAAGGAGGTGAGAAACAAAGAGGAGAGTTTGTGGCTTTGAGCAGGATTGATATGAAGAGGAAGATCTGCAGGAACGACAGGATTCATCAGTCAGGACTTTACTAACGTGTGAGTTAAAGCTGTGAGCGCGCACACACACATGCACACACACACACACACACACGACAGGAAAATGGAGCTTTTAGAGACCAGCTCTCAAATTTAAACTCAGATTAATTTTCTGATTTTTTTTCGATCATTCAGAGAAAATCCTGCAGCAGCAAAAACCTGTAATAATCTAATTAAAATCCAGCCCCCCCCCACAGAACCAAAGACCCTCTGAATAATGATGAATAACCATGGACGGCTCGGCGCTCTGAAACTCTGCGGCGGCACACGAGTCCTTCCTCTTCCTCTCCTGTCTTCAGACCACAAGCAGCTTGTCTCTCCAGGTCAAAGTTGAGTGGTTTGTCTCAGCACCCTACCCCCTCTCCAACCCCGTCAATGCCCACAATGCACCAGTGAGGAAACCACACAACCCCTTTTGTTCTGCAGAAACGCAGGAAAACACACACACACACACACACACACACATAGATGTCCTCCGTGTAGGACGAGGTCTCTGACTCCCTTCTGTCTCTGAGTTTAATTCTGCAGGAGCTCAGACTCCTCACAGTTACGTAATGAAAGGCAGCATGTGAACTTCCATGTGTGTGTGTGTGTGTGTGTGTGTGTGTGTGTGTGTGTGTCTCCATGTGTACATTTGTCAACAAAAAAACTCCACAAATCAGAACCTGCAACCCGAGTCGGCTCCTCTCAAGTGACCTGGCGGGTGTCTTGACCCGTTTCAGTTTACGCACAGAGGTCAAGAAAGGGCACGGCCGAGGAGAGAGAGAGAGAGAGAGAGAGAGAGCGGACGAGCGTCACAGAGAGAGAGAGAGTGTGAGGAGGGCGATCACAAAATGGAGGAGTGGCCTGAAGCAGGGGGTGGTGGATAAGGGAGGGAGTACAGGAGGAGGTGGGGGTTTCATGGAAATGCCTCCAGCGCATTCTGTTCAGCTCCAATGGAGGAGCAACTGCTGATCAGTGGCTGGACCTGGGGGGAGCCCAGGAACAAAACCCCCATTTGATCAGGAGCCCCACAGGTCAGCAGCAGAAATCCGGGGGTCAGCGGTATAACCATCCCAGCACCACCCCCTACCCAAAGTGGCGGACCACACCAGCTCACACGCTCTCTCTCTCTCGCTCTCTCTCTCTCTCCTCAGAGCCAACAGCACCTCAAAACAGACGGAGCGGAGCCTTAAAATGGACCCCGGCTCCCGGCTCCCGTACATGTAATAAATATCTTCCTTTTGCGCCACATGTGTGCGACTGTGTGTAGGATGGAGCCGGCGATCAATACACACTCCCAACATCCTGGATAGAAATAGCGCTCCTTTTCATCAGCCGGGCCCTCGTCATCGCCAGGCCCAGCAATCGATACAGGAAGCTGTAACGTGAGGGGAAGCGGCAAAGAGAGAGAGAGAGAGAGAGAGCGAGGAGACCACCGTCCTCTCCTAGCCTCGCTTTCTTTCTCTCCCTCCCTCCTTCCCCGTGGCGACCACCAGCTACTGAAGGGCTAATTATGGGATGCTTTAAATCAGAGGTGGCCCACGCTGGATCGTACTTGAGTTAAGGAGGAAAAAGGGGGCGCGCCTCTGAGCGTGACAGAGATGGTGGTCACAATGTGGCGTTGTGCCATTAAGTAGCTTTTTACACACAGGAAATGCTAAGTGGACAAAGCTGCGCCGGATCAGTTCAGACGGACAGGAGAGGAGAAGAAGAAGAAGAAAAGCAAAAACACGCCGAGCTAAACCACCAACAGAGCCGCTCCTCTGACGCCGCTGACACCCAAGCCCTCCTCAACACGTTGTCATTAGTGGCCCTGACCCCTGACCCCTGCCCAACCCCCATCAAACACTTAAAAGCCTCCATGTTTCCCCCCGCCTCAAATTAACAACATCCAACAGCCCTGATTATGACGGGGGCAAATATTTGATCTGGGGGAGGAAGCACTAGATCATCTCGCCACGTTTATCAGGAGGAGAGGGGAAATGAACCTCGCCGAGGTGAGCGCTGATAAAACACACGACGCCAGCTAATAAGAGCGGCTTTTTACGACACGAGAGGAGCCGCGGCGGTTTCACTACGACGACGAGAAACACAAAGAGGAGGAAAACAGATCAGATTTACACGAAAGGGTTTGATTTTAAAAACTAACAACCTGAGAAATGTGAGAATATTCAGTGAACAAAGATCCTCCCCTTTAATTAAATCATTAACCTTTAATGAGGGAAACCAGCAGCTGTGTGTGTCGACTGTTTACTCACACAGAGGAGATCATAAAGGAGCTGAGAGCGGGTCAGATAAAGTGGATTAAAAACACATTCAACTGTTAATATAGACAAACTCACACTAGATCACACTTTAGGTCTTTATGTTTTAATGAAGATTCTTAAAAACTAATCCAATCCTCTCACAGTCAGACCCTCTCATGTTTCACATGTTAAAATGATTGTAATTTTAAGTCTCCTGATAATTAGTCTGTGTTCAAACTGCAGGTCAGGTCTGATGTTTTAACCATCTGTGACTCATATCTGAATTTTCATCCAAGTGTGAACAGGTCAGTTCTGATTGGTTTGTGACTGCTGTGTGGACGCTCAGGTCGCATTTATCCGATCTTTACGTCATCAATATGAGACAAACGTCACCGTTGTTCAACGACACGAACAGGAGGGGAGAGTAATTTGTGTTTTGTGAGCATGAGGGTCACTTCACGGACGCGTTCTGTTCACATTAGATGATCGTTGTTGTAATTTGAACGATCGCACAAAAAGATCGGATTTAACGAAAAATCGGGATTGTGAACGTAGCCTTAGAGTCAAATACTAAATCAGTGTTTGATTGATCAGGTGATCAAAGTCATACATACAAATATCTCCATTTTTAACTGTAATAAATTAACATGAACATGTAAATAACATTCATGTATTTATCTTTTTTACATCTTTTAAGTTTCTTTAATTTCTGTTTTTATCGCTGCTGTAAATTTTAGAATTTACTTTTATGGGAAGAATAAACAAATATCTGTTCTTATCATTGAAGGCAGAAATCTCAGCGCTCTGTAATTCAGGATTATTTTAGTTAAAATCTCTTAAATTTCAGTTTAGTGTAGATATACGTTTAAAGTATTTTCCAACAGCCTGATGAAAAATATGGATTCATAAATAATATCAAACAGCTTCATTATATTAATGATCACAAACACAGGGACGAGAATCTAACTGTGTTTGTCTCATTTCAACAACAGGAACGTTGATGTGCAATAAACCCTGTTATCATGTGACTTCTGTACAGATGTGAATATGACCACAGCATAGATCTTGTTTTAACTCAAAGTTTCTTTTAATTTTTATCTTTTGTTTCTAAACTACGCTGCTGTAATTTTAAGACTATTGAAGGAACATCTTATCTTTCTAGTCAAACTCCGTCACTTTATCTCTGCTCACTTTAGTTTAATGTTCTTCGGTTTTTTAATTAACTCCTCCTACTGCACTGTTGTTCTGTATTGTGTAGTTGTCTATAGCCTGTTATACTTTTATACTTTATATATCTCCTGCATGCTCTTATTAGTTTTTATTCTAGTATTTTATATATTTTTCTCTGTTTAATGTTGCATCATCACGCCGTAAAAAATTCCTAGTCTGTGAATCCTGTTCATCGACAACAGCAATAAAACCCCTTCTGATCCTGATTAAAACACTCACTTCCTCCTGACATATAAATGTTAAATCAGATATTACAAACAAAGATAAAGACTGAACTGACTGGACTGAGTAAAGATGGCTGCTGTCGTAGTAAACGCAGATTTTCAGGACGTGACTCTTCTCTAAAAGGACGCTCTCGCCCTGGTTTACGTGGTTTGATGGATGAAGTGTTTATCCTCTGTTTGATGAAATAAGATTTAAAATGAGATTTAAAATGAGATTTATCAGTCGTTGTCGTAATGAGACAGACACACTCAGAGAGGTTTGAGTCTCTGCAGAATAAACATGTTAAAGACGGATTAATCAAAGTGCAGAAGAAGAAGAAGAAATGAGCCGTCTTCACCTTCACCTCTGTGTTTTTATTTTTATTGTGACTGTTTCAGTGTTTCTGACTTTATTCAAACTAAATTAAATTAATTTAGAGTCAGAGGTGCAAACACACTCTCTCTCTCTCTCTCTCTCTCTCTCTCTCTCCTTCTCTCTCTCTCTCTCTCTCTCTCTCTCTCTCCTTCCTCTCTCTCTCTCTCTCTCTCTCTCTCTCTCTCTCCTTCCTCTCTCTCTCTCTCTCTCCTCTCTCTCTCTCTGTGTTTCAGGTGAACTGCGTCTCGTTTGGCGTCCTGCTCTGCTTTCTACTCGGCCACCTTTCCAATTACCAATCATCTCCGCTCTATGTGGCCAGCTCCTCAAAAGGAAGTCACATGACTAGCCTTTCTTCTTCTTTAGTGTTTTTTGATGTGCAGAAGAGAAGGGTGGGTTGGTGGAGGAGGAGGAGCGGGGGGTGGGGGTGGGGGTGTAGGAGGGTGGAGGGTGGGGGGGGGGGTGGGGGGGGCAGTGTGGCTGCAGGAGAGACAAAGCCTGATACTGGCTATCTGAAGGCAGAGATGGGTGGGGCCTGCATGCCAAACGGTGACACGGACCAGAGGTTAATCTCACTAGGGGCCCACTTTAACCTCGCTACACAAAACACACACACACACACACACACACACACACACACACTTGCACGCACGCACACACACACATACAAAACCTAAAACATCTTACAACGGTTCACATGTAGACATCAACAACCTGGTGGATATGAGGGAGAGTAGGAATCACACACACACCCTCACACACACACACTCTCACACACACACACACACACACACACTCACAGGGGCTCCATAAATTGAACACACACTCAGGAGAATAGCAGCAGCAGCAGCAGCAGAAGCAAACTGTTCAACATTTCAAACTGATTACCGACAAAGGGCAAGCAGCCCCCCACCTCAGCCACCACACACACCCCCTCACCCCCTCACCCCACACACCCCCTCACCCCACACACCCCCTCACCCCCCTCACCCCACACACCCACCCAACCCTCCTGCCTTTTTGTCTTTAAAGAAATTCCTCTTTTTAAAAGAATGCCCGAGGAGAGAGCACCCCCCGTGTCCCAGCAGGAACTCTCACACACACACTTTCTCTCTCACACACACACACACACACTCTCACACACACACACACACACACACACACACACACACACACACACACACACAGAAAAAAAAGAATCGCTCAGTGCAGGTAGAGAAGAGGTTAACAAACAGAGATAATGAAATGGCTTTGTGCGTGGAACGGCGAAGCAGAGAGGTACAGCGGGTGAAGAAGCTTAATTACTCTCTCTCTCTCTCTCTCTCTCTCTCTCTCTCTCTCTCTCTCTCACTCACGCACACACACACACACACACACACACCTTCAAAAAGGAAGTGATCAGATAGGAGCCCTGATGAAGAGGCCTCCCAGGAAGAGACCCTCTCGCTGACTCATACACACTCTCACCCTCCCTCTCTCACCTCCTGCTCCTCCACTCGCTCCTCTTTTTCAAACCTCGCGCTTATGTTTTCCTCCTCCGCCGCCTCCCCCCACCCCCACCCCCCGACTCTCACCAACACTTATTTTTTCCCACATCCCTCCTCTTTCCCTCTCCTAGGAAAACTCCTCCTCCTCCTCCTCTTCTTCTTCTTCTTCTCCCTCCTTTTTTCCTCCTGTCCTCACGCTCCCTCTTCCACTCCCCACCGCTCTTCTCTTTCTTCAACGTACAGGATGAGAATTGTGCAGGAAACGTGAGATAGTCTCCTCTCCACCTCGGAAATTACAGGCAGAGAGGTGGGAGATCTTTCACCTAAATAACTCTTCTTTCACACAGGTCTGCAGGGTCTTCAGATACACGCTTACACTGATTTAAATGTTGGATTTTAATGAGAACGACTAAAAGAAACAGAATCAAACAGAGGAGGAAGCTAACAGAGAGAATGACTGACTGCTTTATTAATGAGGGCGAACACAGACATGCAGAGGAGTGGGATCTTCTACATACAACATGACAATAAGCCTGTGACTGCGTTTGGTTTCCACTTTTGTGCCAAATGACAGTTATATTGTTGTGAACACGCAGCTGGAGACACTGGGGCTGAATTTAACTGTAAACATTTGATTTATGGTGAAATAAATTCAACCGTTTTGAAGACAAAAAGACCATCTTCAGTCACCTCTCTGTGGAACTTCTTATCACTTTTAGACCGAAACTATAGAATGATTTGGATAAATCAATATTATCCTTCAAATCCTTTAAAATATCATTAAAATCTCATCTAATCACGTCATTATCTGTTATGTTTGTGTTTCTTTTTATTTATACTTATATTGTCTCTCTGTTGTTTTGACCTTTATATTTATAACCTGTCTATGTCCTCATTACTTACGCCTTCACTGCCCTGACTGGAGTGGACCTCTGTATTACCCTATCAGCTTCATTCCCTCCTTGCTCTGTTTTTAATCTGTGATAAATAAATAAATAGAAATAGAAATAAATAGAAATCAGTTTGTGGATTTTAAACAAACTGGTCAGAGTTTAAAGATTTATTCCTCCTCTCTTCACTCAGATCAGCCTCTAAAATCACATCATGCAGTTAAACTCTCACACTAATGGCTCTTTGTTAAATGTAAAATGATGTAAATAATGTAAATATTGACATTAGCAACTTCATACCGGCTCTTATGTATGTGTAAATATACACACACATATATCTAGGTATGCATATATATTTATATATGCTGTAAATATGATCTGATACTTGTGCTATTGCTCCTCTGGTTTGATGCTAAACTGCATTTCGTTGCATTTTTCTGAACAAGTTTAATGACAATAAAGTTTAATCTAATCTAATCTGAAAAATATTCCCTCAGACTCCATTACTGCAGCAGCTCAAACAAACTGCTGAGACAGAAACCATCGATTTGACTTTCAGCCTCTTTCCCAAACTGAAGCTCCACCTCACTAACATCTGAACTCAGAGAGGATGTGAGCAGAACCACAGATACAGACGCACGTGTTTAAACATGTTCAGGGATATAGGATGTGAAAATATCCAACACAATAACAGATAATGACTCACCACTGAATGCACTTTTCTGATCATCTCTATTTAAAATCACAGAAACTAAATTTTCACAAACGAGAAATACAGAAAAGATCAAATTAAAAAGGACAAACTGAACTACTCTTTAGTTAAACAAAATCACTTCTTCTACAGAGACTTCCTGCTGCTCAGCTTCATCTTTTATCTCATTATCAGAAAATATATAAAAATTCTCAACAATAAAAATACGACACTAAATCAGTTTAAGGAAGAAAGCAGCTAAATCCATGAATAAATGTAGACACTAATACAAACAGAGTTAATTTAACTCGTTATGTTCATTAATATGAAAGCAGAAAAAAAACAGATTCTGTGTTTAAATTAAATAAATCCAAATTAAAGGATTATAATCCAGAACAAACAGCTGGTCCAGTCAGCTCTTTTTTTTTTAAAACTAATCCTCATTTCTATGATAATGAAGAGCGGACTCATCTTTTTATTCACCACTACATCAGCGCTGACCTCTGACCCCTCATGGGCTCCCCTCCTTCCCAACATCCTGTGAGCCCACAATAAAGACACCTCCTCAAGGAGAGGGTGTCAAATGAACACCAGTGAAAATGCCTGTCCTCGTCCTCCCAGACTATTTTCGAGCCTCTTTATTGGTCTGTAAACGGGGAGACTAAACCTTTAAGAGAAGGAGGATTGTGGTCGACTACTCTTTGTTTTCTGCAGAGAAACGTGAAAATAAGGAGTCAGAAATTAACTCTGTGTGCAATAAATCAGCCCGGACACGCAAAACACAGAGTGGGGACTAGAACTGGGCGATATATCGATGTGAGAAATAAATCGGTATATTTTTAAATGAGATTTGGAATTGGACCATATCATATATATAGATCTACAGATATCAGATTCTGTTAAGAAGGACACACTTGTCTGTCCTCTAATGTCGACCTGAAGAAAACATTAACTGTTTATCAAAGTAAGAAAGAAAGAAGAGGAGGAAATGTTTACGGAGTTTATAATCTTGTTTTAAACTGTTCAGAAGATAAAGACGGATAAATAATCTTAAAATGATGATTAAAAACTATTTTCTTAAACTGAGCTCTTTATTTTGTTCTGTCTTTATACATGTAAATGCTGCCCTTACTTAGTGGGTTTGTCAGATTTTATTCTTTATTTATATAGTTCATTTCACACCAAGGCAACTCCATGTGCTTTACAGAAAAATACAACTTTTTTTTTAAAGAGCAGCATCAAAACAAAAAAAACAGTTTAAAGCAGGAGCTGTAGATAAATTTAAAATTACTAAAAAGAGCTCAGCTGTAAACACATGAACAGAGAAATGTTTAAAACCTGGATTTAAACTGTTTGGTCTGATTTTAGTTCTGCTGGTCGTTTTTGTTCCACTCGTGTGAAGCAGCAGAATAATAATATCAGTTAAATCCTGCTTCACCATGTCGGGTTCAAACTCTGTGCTCCACTATCTGACCTGAGCCAGTCGATCTCAGAGCTCGACTGGGTTTATACTCCTCTAACATATCACACTAACATACTGATATTCTCTTTTATACTCCATGACACACTCATGAATATATCCCTTCATACTGTGTACATTTGTAAATATATTTATACTCACTCAGCACTTCTGGATGGATGTAAACTTGTGTACTTGTGCAATAACAATAAAGTTGAATTATTTTCCAATTCTTTTATATATTCTGGACCAAAACCATTTAGAGATTTATAAACCAGTGGAAGGTCATTTAGTGTTTGTCGTTTATTAGAGAGAAGAAGAAAATGTGTCATTTGATTTTAATCTGTTATTTATATTTGTCAAAATGTTGATGCTTTTCTCTTATAAATACATTTATTTCAGATAAAGATCAGTCTATTTTACTTCATGGGTTATTTTTAAATTAAAGATATATTTTTCGTTTAATTGTGCGCCTTATGGAAACAAAGGTCCTCCTGTGGTTATAGAGTATTTATGTTTATGTTTTATTCTTCTTAAATAGAAATACTTTTGACATCTGCAATAACAATATCAAGATATTTATCATCTATCGATATTTAATCTAAAAATATCGTGATCTGACTTTGGGTCCTTATCGCCCAGTTCTAGTCTGGTCCTCCTGAGATGTTCTGGACCAAAGACCCTGAAGGAGCAGAAAAGGGGGCTTCCTCCTCCGACATGTTGGAGAGGCAAGTGTGAAACTAACCGAGTCACAGACACACGACATGTCTCCCCCCTTTACAGTCAGAGGGGGAGGAAAAAGGGGGAGAGAGAGGGAGAGAGAAAGAGGAGGAAACTTAAAGGTGTTTTTGTGATAAAACTCCAACATGTTGGCAGAAACAAAACATCCGGATGGTACAAAGTGGGGGGTGGTGGTGTAATGGGGGTGTGTGAAGATGGAGCAGAGGGAGAAAAAGAGACAGTGGAGGAAATTAAACTGATCAATCACTCAGAGAGGACAGATGTGTGTGTGTGTGTGTGGGGGGGGGACATTTTCTGGACTTACTTGGTGGACGAAAACATCCAGGGGGGGGTCTACGGGGCTCCCTTCGCTGCCGGTCATCGAGATAAATCCAAAACCCATCCGGACGTTGAACCACTTACAGAATCCCGATCCCGTCAGGACCTGGGGGGGTCGAGTCCGGTCCTCCTGCTCGGTGGTGGACTTGGCGGGGTCTTCTCCGCCACCTCTAACCGGCCCTCCTGAAACGAGTCATGGTGGAGGGGGTGGGGATGGTGGGGGGGACATGGGAGAAACAAGTTAAAACCTTCTTCACGCCACCGGAAGGCCGTTTCCCCTCGCGCACACCGGGTTTATATAAGTTTAATGCGCCGCGAGGTTGCGTAAAAACTTCTTGAAGAAGCAGCAGCAGCGTGGGGGGAATCCCCTCCACTCACGAACACGAACACGGGCTGTGGGAAGTTCACGAAGAAACTACTACAACTGTTTGGCGCGTGCCCATCCACGCATTAAAAAGTTATTTGCCCCCCCACACCACCCCACACCCCCGTGACAGATGCACGGCTCTGTCTCGTGCACAGGTATGCTCAGTAGTGGAACTTGTGGAGGATTTGTCTCGTGCATCTGCAGCGTGTGCGTGTGTATATGTGTGTGTGTGTGTGTGCGCGTGTAGAGTTGTCTCCTGCAGGCAGGTGTACACATGGTTTCCTCGAGCTTCACTTGTGGACACACTCTCCACGCGAACAATGCTTTATATGTGAGCGCGTGCTTGCTTGGATGTGTCGCTCGCGCTCAGGGGCGGTTCGAGTCGGTTCTTCTTATTTTCAGCTTTTGGAAGATTTCGCGGGTCTCGCTGCACCTTGCCGCCCCCCCCTCTCCGCCCCCTCCGCTCGGCTCCAGAGGCAGAAACTAAGGCAGAAAATGGGAAAATAATTGCAGAATAACCTTCGGCCATGTTTCCCCGCGGACCCTCTGCGCCCAAGTTGCGATAGAGAAGCTTCCTCTGCGAAAACGGGCTGCGGTCGTCACCATTAATCCGACATCCTCGATCCCAGCGGTCACAAATTGAGCTCGCATGGTACGGCGTGCTTTCTGCCTTTTGATATTTTTGTCATGTCTCTCTTTCTTCCCTTCGATCCCTTCCTCACTCACACCACCTCTGTACTACAGCTCTCTCTCTCTCTCTCTCTCCCTCTCCCTCTCTCTCTCTGCCTCTCTCTCTCCTTCGCTCTCATTCGCTCGCGAGCTGGCTGTGCCCGTTCCCGTAGTGAGAACACGTGACTTTGTCAATTACATGCTTTCTTGCTGCTAATTTCTGCAGGGTACGAGGGGGGAATCGGACCCGCAACTTTCATGTGTTCATCCTTCATGTGTTCATCCTTCATGTGTAGTTTAGAAAATGGAGTCTAAGTCTGCTGCTGTATATAAACACAAACACACACACAGTGAGATGTTGGAGCTGGAACTGTTGGTGTGTCCTCATGAAGCTGTTATACAAGCAGATTTGATTAGAAAGGATTCAATTAAATTTTAATGATTCCTTTGGGGGGGGGGGGTTGTTGTCATAGCAGCAGAAAAACAATAAACATCAGAGCAGAAAGATAGGAACAAAATTCAACTAAAGCAAAGAAATGAGAGTATTATCAGTTAGAGTATTAATGTAGGTTTGTTTACAGTCTGTTTAGTATATGTTCAGTTTTGTTAGTAAGACAACATATTAAATGATCTATAGAACATTTAACATTTTAAGCTGTTAAAGTAGTGAAGTGAAGACCTGAACAAATCTGTAACAAGACAAGAAAATAAAGTAAAAAGTAACTGATGATTCTAGTAGGAAAGTCAGACTGAAATGTTGTTTTTATTCATATTTATTATTATGTTTGTTTTATTTACTTCACGGTGTGACTACAGTAGAGATCAGTGACCAATAAGTCAGACAGAAAATATGTTTTTGGTTTTTGTTTTACTTTAGTTTAGACTAGTTTAGTTTTGTTTTGTTTTGTTTTGTTTTTGTTTTGTTTACTTCATGGTGTGACTAGAGTCTAGCTCAGTGACCCATAAGTCCATTTGAAACTCTGATCTGTTTGTTTTTGTTTTGTTGTTTTAGTTTTGTGGTCTGAATGTTGCTCAGTGATCGATTAATAAACTATTAGACTTTAAGTGAGGGGTCAGCTAATATAAGATGTTTCTTCTTCCTTCCAACTAATGGATAAGAAATGTTTGTATGTGACATGAGATTGTCAAAGTGAGAAATCACCGAGGCTGGAATAGAGAGAGAAAGAAAGAAAGAAAGAAAGAAAGAAAGAAAGAAAGAAAGAAAGAAAGAAAGAAAGAGAAAGAAAATAATCAAACTACTTTCACTTTCACGTATGAAGTCAGCAATTCTCCTTTAAAACAGACCAGAAGGTCAACGACAGAGGAAACGCAGAATAAATAAGAGTTTCTTTAGACAAACATGGTTCACCTAAAAACACTCACTGTCGATAAACACGTGCAGCTTCTTTTTATTTTTAATCTCTACTAACAGACCTAAATGTAAAATTCAGACTCATGTCTGAAAGGAAAACAGAATAATGAATCATATTAAAGAAAAGATTAAATCAGTTTATCAAACACAGAGTCACCCTGAGATACAAACAAACATGAAGACAAACACGGAGCATAATGTTAGTGTCTCAGACCCGATACTCGAAAAGAGTTTAAAACACCAATTTTTACTTATTTTATTGATTATTGATCCTCTCTTTCGACTTTGTTTGGAGTTACTGCAACAGAAACCAACTTCCCTTCTGAGGATTATTGAAGTATTTCAGGTTCTGAAGAGCAGAACCTGAGCGGACTCAAACCGGGTCTGTGTGACAGGAAAACTCTCCCTTTACCTTTCAGACTTTAGTAGAAAGAAATAAAGGTGTAAAGTTTTCATGTCCATGCTGTCCATGCATGGACATGCTGTTGTGGTGGAGCTCATGTTCCTAACACACGACCAGTTACCTCCCAGTATCATATACTGGGCACCAGAGGAGAGCTGAACTCACAGCTTAGGAATGTGAGAGAAAAACCCAGAAAAACAAACCTGCAAACTGATGTTTTCAGTCCCTGATCTGCAGCTGTCAGGAGATAATCAGACCGAGAGGGAGGAAAAAACACTCAGAGAGGGTGTTTTTAAAAAAAAGACTTAAAATAGATTTAAATCATTTTAAATAAGAAGGAAAGGGAGTCAGCTTTAAGTGTTTTTAGTGAGCGAATTACAGAAAACAGAGAAGAGTGTAAAACTGATTTAAGTTCATAAACTGAAAACACAGGAGAGAGAAAATAAGTTTAAAACTCATTAAAAACTTGACTGTCCTCATCATATTTGTCCAGTTGACTTTATTATTTGTATTCAATGTTTTTGAAAATTTAATTATAAAGATAAAAATATGTTCACTCATGATGACCTTCACAGCAAAGTTTGATATGTGAAGACGTTTTTAACATATTTGTGTTTGTATTTGTACTTTTCTTTTATACTGTTTATGTTTATCTAATTGTACTTATTTTATCTACAGCACTTTGTGATTTTGATCTGTTAAAATCACTCTATAAACAAACTTTACTTACTTACTTACTAACGTGAGAAAGACTTAAGTAAAGTTTATACATATTTCAAATTCAAACTTTAATCTTTTTTTTTTATGGAGCTTTTATGTGTCAGAGGGAACTTTAACTAACAGATTACACTTTAGAAATACAAATGATTCAAAAGATTTTAAGTTAGGATTTCACAAATATCAAAGTTCTTTTCTTTCTTAAAACCACCAACACTTTCATTCTCTTTTAAACACTTAAAGGTTTTATAAAAAGTTTTATAAAGTTTAAAACTAAACTGAACATGAACTTTTATTTTTATGTATGTTTGGACGTAACCTGAGACGGTTAGATTTATATAACTTTATTAAACTCTCTAAGTGTTTAAAAACTTTAAAAATAAGAATTAAAAGATTTGGAGTTAAACTTTCACAATTATCAGAGTTATAATCGGACTTCCTTTCTTTCTTAAAACCTGCCGACACGTTCAGCCTCTTTTAAACACTTTAAGGTAACGTTTTATAAGGTTTGATAAAGTTTAAAACTAAACCGAACATGAACTTTAATTATTATGTTTGTTTGGATGTAACCTGTGATGGTTAGATTTATATAACTGTTATAAAGTCTGTAAACGTCTAAAAACTTAAAAAAAAAACACTTTTATCCTCTTTAAAGAACTTTGTCCATGTTAGATTTGAAAACTATGATAATGTTTTATAAAAAGAAAAACTTTCCTCTGTCTGTATTGATTTATTTTTCCTTCTATAACCTGACTGGATTAAAGTCTTTAAACTTATTTAATGAAAGTAAAAGTTTGATGAAAACTTTACAAACTGATCCACAAATACAGAAATCTTATTTTTGTGTTTTCATTCCAAACTGGTCTGAAATTAATAAATGTGCCGATAATGGGGTCTTAAAAATTGGGTTTGGTTTTCATAAATAAAGAAATATGATTACGTTAAATCAATCTACCCATAAACAACGACTTTTCTCCTGAACACAAAGTTTCCACCTAACCATGTTAACATTATTATTATGTCAGTTCTGTACAGATGTAAATACAAGGCGTGCACATATCTTGTTTTAACTTAAAGTTTCTTTATCTTTTAATTTTTCTCCTTTTGTAACTAAACTATTCTTGATTTTCCTCCTGTGGGACTAATAAAGGAACATCTCATCTCCAAACTTCACAGCCAAGAATAAAAACTCGTTTTTCAGAGAGGTTCTTATTTTAACATGAAGTGTTTTTAAAGTCTAGAAACAGTGAATGAAATATCTAACTATGACTTTATTAGTTTGATTCTCTCAGTTTTGTTTACGCTTCAACAGGCTGATTTTTCTTTACATGTGTTTGATCAAATCTGCTCCTAAAAAGACAGAAAAGCAGAGGAGAAGACAGAGAGTGAGTGTGTTGTTTCTCAGCCTCCACTTCTGCTCTCTCGTCTTTAGTTGAGAGTTTTTGTCCATCAGTCTCTCGCTGAAGTTCAGAGCAGGAAGAGCAGGTCTGACTGACTGACTGACGGAGGGAGGGAAGGAGGGTGGGAGGAGGGGGCTGCGGTTACTTGAGGCCACCCAGCAGATCAATACCAAGTCTGAAAAACACCTCCACCTTCATTCACAAACTTCCTCTGATCTGACACCCACCCTGGTTTCTCGGAGGGGTTATTCCCGAGAACGAGGAAAAGAGGAAAAACAGGTTGGAGGAATGAAACAACAACAAGCCCATCTCCACCCACCGGGGCTAAAGAGCCCACCCTCCGGAATTCACGAGCTTTCCCCCTGCCCCCCATCCATCCCTCCTCCTCCTCCTGCGCCCGCCCTCGCTCGCTCGCTCGCTCGCTCGCTCAGGCCTGTTTTTGAAGATGCTTGCAGAGGAGGAGGCCTCGCCGTGGCCACAGAATTACTGTTTGGGTCAGAGGGTTGGAGAGCAGCGTCAGATGTTCTCCACTCACTCATATCCTGACAGGACCTTTCTGATTAGGACACGTCAGGAGGAATCAGGACACGACCGTGTGTGTGTGTGTGAGCGTGAGTGTGTGTGTGTGAGCGTGAGTGTGTGTGAGTGTGAGAGTGTGTGAGGACAACAGAGGTGGTGTTTAGGGTGGGACTGTTAGTCTAAGGAAAAGCCTGAAATACCAAAAGAGAGATTAACTTCAGGGTCTGAGAGCGAAAGATGAAAAAAAGGAGATATTGATGATGAGGTGAAGGACAGAAAACCTCCATGAACACATGAACAAATGAACACATGAATGAAAAGGCCTCAGAAATGAAGATTTGTGATTTTATCCTGATTATTTTTATCTGTTTGCATCTTCAGCACTAAAAACTTCAGCTTCTGTTTTTCTGCTTTTATGAAACAACAAAACTGATCAACATTAAAAATGATCAATAACAGATTCAGAAGAAGAAGAAACTTTACAGCTAAAAACTGAACCGTCCTGTAACTCCAGCGTCTCTGATTTACGTCTGTGTTTTCACCGTGTTTTCAAAGATCTCACTAAAGTCTCGTTTATTTTCGTTTGTTGGTTTTCTCAACCTGAAAAACGTCCAAATATCATTTTTCTCTCATCTGTGTGAAAAAAACTCAACGTTAGGAAAACGAACAGAAAAGGAGAGAAAGAGGAAAATCTAACTTTATAACTGAATCACTTTAAAAGTCTGATTTATTCCACTCTTAACTTTGTAGATATACAGAAGTTTGATGTTTCTCAGCTGATAGACGGACTTTTCTTCTTCTCTGTGGAGGTGAAGTTTGTTTTTTGTCGTCTTTGGTTTTTGTCGTCTTTGTTTTTTGTCGTCTTTGTTACGTGTTGTTCTTGTTTTGTTGGTGTTGATCATGTGATCTCTCTGTTTGTCTTGTGGACTGTATTTGTTTCAAAAACTAGGTGGGACATCTAAAGGAGGTTTATCCATCTTAACAGATTTCAAACTTCAACTTTGAAAACTTCTTTTTAAACCTGTTAAAGTTTTATTTGTCCGTAGTTTTTAGTTAAATCTAAATCATTTTGGTGTTTTTTAAAGAGACTGTTTCTCCAATGATTATTTTAAAGTTAAAGTTTTTTGATCTGTAAGAAGATAAACTTCATTTTTATTGACATCAGTAACTTTTACTTCAGAATAAGAGAGTTTAAACTGTCTGAACTTTTGGGAGAGAATGAACTTTTCTTTGTTTAAAACGTTGATAGAAAAGAGGAGAACTTTTTAAAGTCCTGAATGATAAACCAGAATAATCCAGAATAAACCTGAATAATAAACCTGAATAAATCTGAAAAAGCCTGAATAATAATCCTGAATGAAGTTGGTTTGTTGAGACAGTTTCTGTGATGATCTGTGATTTCTACCTCTGCTGACTGAGGTCGGTTCGAGGATCGATGATGAACTTTTGTTAAAAATAGTTAAATAAGGTTTTTTTCTTTTATGTTCAGCCTGAGAATTTTTCTTTGACCTTTAATTCGTGTGTTTTTTTATATAAACTCTGTTAAACTTCTGAACCTTCAGGGCCTGATGATGGAAATGAAAATGATTTAAAGTTCAGTCTGAATGTTTCTATCAAAGTAAATTATCCTGTTTTTATAGATTTATTTGAACATTGATTAGATTCAGATCCTTCACTTTTGTTAAACTCTCATCATGTTCAGGAGAAATGATGAAAATAAAAACATGTTTTCTCCTTTTAAACAGGATTTTCTCTCCTGTGTGTAACAGTAACATCAGGACTCAGTATGAAGATCACAAACTGAACTCTTTATAAAACAAACTCTTGTTTTTTTCTCCTCATTTTTATGAAACTTTAGAGTAAAAGAGTTTCAGAGAAGTTTGCAGCTTCACTGTTTCAGACTCTGATCATCTCCTTAAACAGAAACAGAAACAGAAACCCTCTCTCTGAGTTTGCAGCAGATTCCTGAACTCTCTGAATACTAAACCAACTTTTCTGAGCAGACTTTGGACTCTCTCACCCCAGCTAACCCCACCCAACCCCCACTCACTCACCCACTCACTCACTCATTCATTCACCCTCACAGGCTCCCAGAGGAAATGTGTTTTTACCCGCTGCTGTCAGTTCAGAGGGTTCACAGAGTTCTCCTCCTCTTTTACTCTTATTTTTCTGTCTTTCTTTCCTTCCTTCATCCCTCTCTCTCTCTCTCTCTCTCTCTCCAGCTCTTCTCCTGGTTTCTCAGAGTGAACATGATCATCTCCTCAGAAACTGAAGCTGTGAGCAGGTCTGAGTTCCTCATGGATTTATGAATCATTTCACTTTATAATTCAGACTTTTGTGACTCCAGCTCACAAACATGAGTTCAGATTAAATTCACATTAATCTGAAGATTCATTTTCTAACTCCAGAAAAGACAAATTCAGTCAGTTTTGGATTATTTTCTGATTCTGTCTGAAAGTTTGTTGAAATTTCGTTGAGAAATATTTTTGAATGAACGAAAATTCACTAAATTTCCAGAGAAAAACTCACTAAAGTCACGTGATGTTAATTCAGAGCAGAGAGGAAACATGTCAGAGAGAGCAGAGCTTCAGTTCTTCAGTTTGGAGGAGAAAAAAGTTTATCTTCATGTTCATTAAAATCAGATTTAATTCCCCTGAACAGACTCTCTAACTCTCTTTTATTAAACTCTCAGATCTTCTTTTATTTTCGGACCCCTGACCCTGTCCCCCCCTCCTCTCTGGATCTCAGACTCACTCTGTTTTTTCTCTGTCGGTTTTTCTTTTTGGGGAAACGAGACGAAAATAAAGAAGAACTAAAACCCGGTTTTTGGTTTTGATTGGGGGGTCCAGGTCGGTTTTTAATATACTGGGTGGACTGGTCTGTAAACCAGTAAACAGGCTCTGAATACAGGGTCGATGACGTCAGAGATGGGGGGTGGGGGGTGAAGCTGCTGCGCCAAAAATTTTCGCGCAATAATCGAAAAAACTGTGGATTTGTCCTTTTTTATGTCCTCTCCGACTGTTTCTGTCCTCTCTGGATTTTTCTGCAGCAGCTTCAGCAGGTAAATCTGAAGTTTTTCTCGTTTCTAAGAGGTTTTTTTCATGTTTCCTCCCATGTGATCAGAAACGCAGCCGGTAGTTTCTGATGCAATGATCGATCGATTATCAACCGGAACGAAATTCGGCGAAGATCTTCCTCCAATGTTCGATTAAAGAGTCGAAAGTGACCGAGAGCTGCTGCTTTTAGAGACTTTTTTAATTCTCCTGTTTCCCCCCGAGAGTTTCTACTTTACTTTAACTCTTTAATCCTAATCTAGAGTTTAAATCCCTAATCCAGAGTCTGTGTGTGAGTTAAGAGCGTCTATCAGAAACTTCCAGAGTTTATTGAGAGTCTGGAATAAAAGAGTCGATCCATCACGGTGTCATGTTGTTAAAGGCGGTCATTTCAGGTCAATGAAAAGCAGGTCCGACCGCTGCAGGGGTGAGCTCAGTTCACACCAAACCCCAGTCACATTTCTGCCGATTTAAGAAAGTAAAAGCTCAGACTGACCTTCATCAGGAGGAGCAGACATCCTCCTGCTCTGGGTGAGTGAGGTGGCACAGACAGCAGAAGATGAAGATGAAGATGATGAAGAGTTTGTCTCCTCTGAAATGATGAAGATGATGATGGTGGTGGTGGTGGTGTGGTTGACGCTCTGCTCGGAGTTACATGCTGAGGAGGGTTGAGTCTAACCCGGCAGCATGAGGAGGACTGAGCGGCTGGAATAAAGAGATTTTTGTTCCATGGATGAATATTTTATAGTCAATGTAACTCAAGCTGGAGCTGCTGCAGGCTGCAGAGGGACAGCAGAGTCAGGAGAGGGCTCCTCAGGACTGAAGAAGAAGACATCTGGAGACTCATCTCCTCACAGGTCCTCAGCTCAGGGACAGTCTTCACCTCCAGGTCCTGGTCCAGTCCTCAGTTCTGGTCCAGCTGTAAAATCAGAGGAAAGAGTCCAGGTGAGTCAAAGTCCAGTCTCCAGTCTCCCCCCCTCCCTCATGTCACAGCTCTATCATGGCTCCTCCTCACACCATGTGGCACCCATGTCCTCCTCCTCCATCACCACCACCACCATCCTCTGAGCCTCCCCCACCTCCTTCCCTCCAAGGAGAAGGATCCAGACTTCACAACCCCCACCCAGAGACCCTCAGAGACCCTGAAGGAGGAAAAGAAGAAGGGTCTCCTCTAGAGGAGGGCCTCCTAACCATCATGTTTGTGATCATACAGAAAAACTTTAACATCATTTTAATAATAATAATAATAATAATAACTGACCTGACATCAGCTGTCCAATCATCATCCTTCTGTCCTCACCTGTAAGGAAACAGGAAAACAGGAAACTCTGATAACAACAGAAACAGATTTAAAGACTAAAGAGTCATTTTCTGTTTTTGTCTCTTTTCTATTAAAGTCTAAAGATAAAGTAAAAATGTTACTTAAATATTTCCACAGGGGGAAGATCCTTTTTCTTATTCTTACCTTATCTTTGTGTTTTAAAATGGTTTTCATTTTAGTATTTAAGTGGCGCTTAAATTACCCTGTACTATGTACAATAAAAATAAAGGTGATTCTGAATTCCCAAATTACAGCAGCAAAGATACAAAACATTCAAAGCAGCAGATTATAGATACAAAAAAGACAAACGTTAAAAAATAAAGAAACTTTGAGTTAAAGTAAGATAAATGCATGTGTCATATTTACAGTATTTACATAATAATAATAATAATAATAAAAATAGGGTTTATTGCACATTGAGGTTCCTGTTGTGGAGTCTAACAGCTGCAGGACTGACCTGAGATACTTCTCTGTCACTAAATACACAATAAATAAAGTAAAGAGTTGATATTATTATGGGATGGTCATACTGTTATTCTGAATGTGATGTTAAAGTTAACATCTACAACAGTGGATAATATAATATTAATTTAATGTAGGAGTAAATTTTTATTTTTTTAAACAGATGAGATTAAAACAACCAATCAGAAAGTGATTTACTATTATTAAAACAATACTGTTCAGATTAAAACTCTTTAATCTGTTGAGTTATTTTTCTAAAATAAAACAAAATCACACTGATCACTTAAACATATAAAAGTATTCTCATTAACCTCACTCAGACAGGTCTAACCTCAGGTCAGTTTCATAGTTCCCTCCTCAGTTATTTCAGCTGCTCTTCGGTCGAACTAAAGAAGAAAAACAAACTTTACCTCCTTTTTTAAAGATTTATCTACTTTTAACAAAGAGGAAACTTGTTCGATTAAATCAAACAAACAAACATCAAATTCTAACCGATTAAAAATAAACTGAGTTTAATCGAATTATTCGTTGTTCCTCCGCGGAGTTAAATAGTCCCTCCGCAGTACTGGGCGGCGGTTTTCCGGATGGCGCAGGGATACTCTCGAGCCCCCACAGGTGTGCTCTCATTGGGTGTTTCAGAACGTCTTCAAACGTGTCAGCCAATCAGATCAGAGAGGTCCGTCCGTCCGTTCAGGAGGCGGTTGGAGGACTTTGAGGTAAACACGTGAAAGAAAGAAGAGAAGAAGAAAAGAGAGAAAGAAAGAAAGAGGGATTTTCCTCTGACAGGAGAACTTTTCCCAGAAACACGGACGGACCCTCTAACGAACGAAAACAGGCCGGCCTGTCTGGATCCCTCCGCGGCTGCAGGGTCCTGGTCCTGGTGGGGGGGTTCTGGATCAGGTCCCTCCTCTGAGTGGATCTGGGGCCTTTTCAACAGTTTCCACACCTCAGTCTGCAGACCCGGGTTCAGATCCGGGACCGAGAGGCGCCCTCTGCTGTTTCAGTCAGCTCAGCGTGCACGTGCACGTACACACACACACACACACACACACACACACACACACACACACACAGTCAGCATTAATACAAACTTGTACTTTATCTCTTTATTTTTACTTATTTTATCTTTTCTTTATTTCCTCTGGACTTTGACAGAAACAGTTTTTCCCTCCTGAGGATCATTAAAGTGATTCTGATTATAAACTGAGTTTATATGTTTCCTCACACTACAGAGCAAATAAGAACTGAACATTTGAGAATCTGAAAACCTTCAGAACTCTGAGTGTTTAATCTGTGAGATTATCTGACCTACAGTCTCTCTGATTTCCTGTAAATTAAAGTTCTCTTCTCTTCTTTAAACCGACAAACATTAAAAGTTCTTTGACTTAAACTAAACCGTCTTAATCAGACCTGAATTATTCTCATTTCTGTTTCTTTTATTGAAGTTTTATTCTCTTTTATCTCACGTTAATAAAGTGACTTTAGTCTTTATTCTTGGAAAGTTTGTGTGTGAATCTAAAGATTTAAACAAAGTCATAAATCGTCCTGAATTATTAAAATATAATGTTTAAAGTTGATGTTAATCTTCGTGTGAGGGAAACTTACAGACTACTTTAACAAAAACATGAAACTAAGCAGTAAACTTGGACGTCTGCTGTTATCGAGTCTTCAGGAAACTGACAAACATTAAAACTCCTCAGACTTAAACTTAACTGTCATGTTCAGGCCTGAATTATTATCTTTTCTGTTTCTTTTATTTCAGATTTATACTCTCTTATCTCATGTTGGTTTCTGTGATTTTATTCTTTATCTGGGAAAGTTTGTCTGTGATTTTAATAAAGTCATTAATCTCTCTGAATTGTTTAAAGTTGATGTTAATCTTCTCTGGTTTGTGTGAAGGAAACTTACAGACTACTACAACTAACCTTCACTACACTGTACAAAAGCCAAGGTGCTTCTTTCACACCAAACTTTAGTTTGACAGGGTTAATTTCAGCCGACTTAAATTTACTTTTGTTTACATTTTGCTCTTCATTGTATCTTACCTTAGCTATTGTGTTATATTTTATTTATTGTATTTTATTTTGGAAACAGACCCGAGCACTAATTTGATACCACAGACGGTCAAAGGTGTGGGGTATGACGAATAAAGTTCCTTAAATCCTTGAACTTTAACAAAAATATAAAATTAAACAGTAAACTTGGACGTCTGTGTTATCGAGTCTTCAGGACAGAAACTTTCTGTCAGAAGACGTAAATAAAAAAATGAACTTTTAGATTCATCAGGAGGTTTAAACTAAAATATTTGAAAGTAAAGATGAAAATTTTAATGAATAAAAAATCTTTTGAAAACCGTGAAATAAACCATATAATTATTTATACTCTGTACACGTGTAAATTTGACTCATGTTCATATCCTATATCTTTTTGTTTTTCTTAACTCTAAGTTGCTTTATTCTTTAATTTCTCTTTGTATGACCGTATGCTGCTGTTAATTTGGGACTATTAAAGGAACATCTAATCTTTTTAAAGGTTTAATATAGTTATAAATAAATGAAAATGTGATTCAGATTTGTGGAATAAATAAACATCCAAACATGTGAACTGATGAGAGTTTTAATAAAGATTTCTGAAATTAAACTTGGGAGTTTATTTTATTTTCTCTGTGCAGAGGGAAAAGTTCTCAGTTTGAATTCTTTCTAATGAAGTTTAAATGTTTTTGTTTTTATGTCAAACTGTCCTGGAAAGTCTGTAAATGTTTAGTTGTATTAAATTTATTCGTCATCCTCAGTCAGAGACAGTCAGGGTATTTTTGTGCTGATTTTAGGATCTTTAGATTTTGATTTTCAGTTTACGACGAATAACAACTAAACTAAGATAAGATGAGATGAGGGGTAAATTCCTTATTTACAGCGGCCCATAAAAACAAAAAGATTAATTACAGGATGAAGAATGAACATTTGTGTCTTTAGTTAAAGTTAAAATCATCGTTTTCAGCTTCTTTAAACTCTTTTCTTCACTGTTTTCAGTCTCAGGGGATTAGGATATTTTAGTTTTTCTTTATGACGGTAAAAATCAGAATAAAAACTGAGTAACTGTGAAGAACAAATAAATGATCTCTTAAAGCTGTTTTCTGTTTTGCTGTAAATGTTTCAGTTTCATCTTTTTCTCCTAATTTCAAAGTTAAACTGATTAAATCAAATTAAATAAAATGTTCTCCTCCTCAGTCTGAATAAACACAGAGTCTAAATGTTGTTTTTCTTTGTTTTTTTCTGATTTTAATTTTAAACCTTTAAAGGAAACGGACAGCAGTGAGCGTTAAACGCTGTGATGATGACCGTCACAGAGTTTCTCAGTAGCTGTTTCAGTCTCTCCATAATGTCCCACATGAACATGAAAGAGAAGGTCCTGAACAGGGAACATGTATGTTGAGTAATCCACATGGGGCCCTCTGTCAGACCACCCTCATTTGCAGCACGTGTTGGTGATTTTCAGAGAGGCTGCCCCCTGGTGGTGAAGTGGCGTCCTCACACAGGAGCTGCTCTTAGGTTTGATTTCACTCTATGACTCTGATTTAACTCCTCTGTTCTCACTAAAAACATTAAATCTGATTTTATTCTGTCTTCAGTCTCTCATTTTGATCGTAATCCTGCGTCAGAAGAAAAGTGCGTGATCGGTCACTGTTTAAAAAGTCGTTTATTGTAGTTGTGGCATTGTGTTTTGTTCCCTTTTTTAAGGTAAACAATCAGCACATGTCAAGAGGTAGAAATCATCATCATCAGTCAAAGAACTGTGGGGACTGATTTTGGACTCGCACTCTCTCACTCTCTCTCTCTCATGTTTTTGAGTTTGTAACGCTCACATCCTCAGAAATACTGTCGACGTACAGACTCCGCCTCCTCCTCCTCATTTAGAGTTAAACATGCTCAAGTCAGAAACATCCACCCGCCTCCACCCTGTGCACAAAAATAAATAAACCGTAACAAACCGTAGTGCCTCGAAGACCCAGAACCATCTTGAAATAAAGGTCTGTTATTTTTACCTCAAGACCGGGACTGCTGATTGGCTGACTGCTGTAACCGTACAGAGGTTTACACACACCCACAACTGGGACCATCATCATCATCATCATCATCATCACGCCGTCTCATGATGCAAAAATGGCCACCAGGAGGACTGTTGGCTGAGATCCTGATGAGTCTGTGTACCAACAGGCTCACAACATAGAGAAGAAGAAGGGAGGGAGGGGCAGGAAAAATCGCCTTTTTCACACCAACTCCTGAAAATTTCCAGACAATAAAAGGACGTTTAAGTCCTGACGTTACTCAGACTTTTTTAAGGTTGAGTAGGGAGGCGTGTCTGAACCATCAGAGGATAAATCTGCAGCAGAAACAAGAGGAGAAGGTCATGAGCGGTAAAGAGCGAAGGGTTAGGAGCTTCTCTGTAACCTGAAAAATACGGTGAACATGTCTGAATATTGAACTTCAGGACAGACGTATTCACACACGGCTGAGAAGAATTAAAAAAAACCTGCTCAGAATCATATTCAAAGTTCTGCCTGTCCACACAGACTAACTGGGTAAAGTCTGGAAATTTTCAGGAGTCGAGTATAAATGTGAAAAAAGGGCGTTACAGGGATATTCCGGCGTAAG